CCATTACGTGTCTAGGCTTCCGTCGATCTTTATTTTTCAACAGTCTGTTTCACAAGGAATGGCTCTCACTCCATGGAAAATGATCTCTCCTCAGTTCAGTTCCCCGGCCTCCGACTTCACCTTATTATTTTCGTCTCTTCCTCTTCTAACTTATTGGATGTTCATTTCTGCCTAATTTGTTCTGTGTCCTCTTTCATTGTCTTTTCTATTTATTCCCATATTGTATTTGTTATTATGACACCCTAAATGTGAATTTTTTTTTGTTTGGTCTCTTTCAATCTTTTTCTCACTGCAAAACGAGTGCTTCTGTTATCATCGTGCTTTTCTCATTAAATTACTTTTTACTGGATTAGCTTTTGTGTGTCTTGTGTGCCCACTTGTTCTCATTTCCTCGTACTTCCACCCTATGTCACTTATTCATATTGTTTGCTTCGAAATTGTAGTTTTGTGTTCTGCATGTGTTTTCTCGTGATTATATGCGGCTCGATGTCATGAAGGAAAAAACAATAGGATATTCTTGATTACTCTCTTTTTCCAAGTTTTTATATTTCGCGCCCACTATATCGTAAATTATCCAACAAAGGATCACTTGCAAGCTTGAGTACAAGCGGTACTCATGCTTTGGTTTTGTCATGTTTCGTCATCCTTTCCTTAATGGGTCATGTACGGTGTAACTTATTGTCTCTATCGTTCAAGTCTTCTACTAGTGAGTAATCACACTCTGAAGAAAACAATAATGATTAGAGTGGTCGAACCAAAGGTATGCGACTTTTTTACTTTGCTTGTACAGTCCTGGACATAATTAAAGACACCCTAGAAATCGTCGTAATTTTAGTTCTTGTCAATGAGTCTGTCTGAAACTTTGCTGTATTGTGCGCATGCTAACATACCATGACCCCGCAAAACCCCTCAGAACGGCTCCCGATCTTGTTGAGTTTAGAATGGAGAAAACGGAAAAATTCGAAATAGCTCTTAACGGCAGTGCCCGGGCAAAAAGTCGATTTGAGATTTTGCGCATACCCGGGCCTATTTGTTATGCTGAATCCGAAAATCCACACTGGAGAGCGCGAAAACGGCGGAAAATGGCTCTAACACAGGAGGGAAATCAAGTGGGCGGGGTCTTCCCCTCTGTGAGTTTACAGTTCCAGCTTCTAGAGCAATCTTCTCGGTTCCGATTTCAAGTCATGCATTCGCATTTGCCCTGTGGAGATGTCAGAGCGACTAGCGAAATTGAGAAGATCGCTCCAGAAGCCGGGAGCGTGAATCCACAGTGGGGAAAATCCCGCGGTGGATTCACGCTGTGGATTCCCGCCCACTTCTGATTTCATCCCTGCGTTGACTTTTCGCCGTTTTCGCGCTCTTCAGTGTGGATTTTTGGATTCAGCATGGCTAATAGGCCCTTTTAAGCACAAAATCTCAAGATCGACTGTTTGTCCGGACACTGCCTTTAATGAAAGCTGAACAAAATTATTAAGACACCTTGTTTTTCTAAACACTATCGCATTCCTTGACTCTCAAACTTTTTTGTACAATCACATCCAATATGAAACATTTGCGCCACATAGGGCCTGTCATCCTACTGGAAGAAAAATGATCACTGTATTTTTTGCTTTCAAAAGCATTAAATGTCAATCTGTTTCAACAAACAGCTGATTTGAGGAGTTTTCAAGCTCTTTTCATTTCAAATAATGGTCATAAAATCTACTATGAGCCTTTTCGATAGATGAGATGAGGAGCGCTTTCATAAACTCTGCGTAATCGCTGTTATTGACGGACGGACTGCAACCTCACCATAGGGTTGACGCAATTTTGCACCACAAAAATAGATTTTCAGCAACAGAAAATAATGTAATGTATCGATCACGAAGCCATGCAATAGTGACCTTGTGTGAATGACCAGGAAAGAATTTTGGGGTTGAGAATTCTGGTTAAGCCGCAATTGATATCCACTGAATTTTAGTGGATCACCCTGCACAATCATAGCCAAGTCATATTACGAGATAAAACAGGAAACGCTCAAAAATCCAAAACTTTATAACTATCGTTTGAATTAACTTGACAAAATGCAACCTAAAGAGTTCTTTGAGAAATTTTCGCTGAGGAAGGCGTGAAGAGGGAAGTTTTTTAAATTTCTTCAAATATTTCTGTAAAAAGGAGATTTGGATAAGTATGCGTAGTATACAAAAGAAGATCCTGTGACAGATCTTAAGACATGTTGAATACTTCTAAAGTTCTTCGCTTTCTGTAAGGCCTTCTCATGGAAGTGGGTTTTCAAAAGTAGCATTCAGAAAAGGTATAAATCGTAGAGATATCCATGGTGACAATTAGACGGCTAATAATGTATTTGCCTCAACCTACTTCCAAGTGGCCCATAGCGTCGCTAGTAATATACGAATACTTAGCAAGAAGATATGAACGTTTACCAAAGGCATGTGTATGCTGCACCTGAAAGTTTGTGCAGCGAACATTAAAATAAGCGCTTGGAACTAACTTCATGAATTGAATGAAACGAAATGTTTATCTGATGCTTTGTAAAACCTAAATTGCCCTGAATCCGGTGACAGCTATTTTCTGCAGTTTACATTTGTATTTAACGATAAAAGACCACTGCGAGAAGCAATCGCAACCTTTTCTCACCATTTCCGAATTAATAACTTTTGGCAAACCCAACTAATACTCTGTAATAGCGGATCGCATATGCAGTGTGGACACAAACGGCTCCAAAATGTTTCAGTTCACAAAATGTTTCAGATCAGCTATTGAATGAAATGGAAACGTCAAAAAGGGTGTGCACTCTTCAGAAATACTAGTTCGACAAATCAGTCTTTGCAAATACGTATGGTAACACGTTGGGCTTATGAAACTATTGTTAGAGGATGATTGCAGCACTGTGGCATAATTTCAACCAAAGATGTAGGTAGTATTTAGTGGTACTGCTGCGAATTTGACCGATTGATTGCAGATAATTTGACCCATCCTCTGGAAAGACCTACAATAATGTCTTTGTAATTATAAACCACTAATTTTGCTGTAACCCCAAAGTGGTAGGCGTCCGAGGCATACAAATTGTTGATTGTTAGAACATGTGTCATTCTTGAAACGCGGATCCTTGTCTTCGTCTCTAAAAAACTGACAGCAGCAGTTTTGCTGGTTTCGGCGTAAGGTGCTTTCAGCTAATCTATCATGATAGTCCATTTTTATTAATCGAGTAATTTCTTTTGTTGTTTTGTTGTTCTTTGTTTGTTACTATAGCACTCGCCTCTTATTCAGCGCCAGTGTCCTCCGCGAAGATTCTATTTCCTGCCTTTTTCCTGCTCAAAATGACTTTTATACTCACCGCTTACTAACATGAGTGAAATGCAGAAAACTGCTCATTGAAGGTTTGCTATGTAAGACCGGTGACTTTGAGATAGAAACTTTCCTGCAGAAGAACAGATGCTAATCAGCTACAGTCGAGTAGATTTTCCGCTTAATATAGTGTGCTTGCACAAAAAGTGAAATGTGGTGAAATTTTCGCGTGAATAAATAGCTTCGACTGTGACGCCGGTCAGTTGCGGGCGCAAAATGCCGGCAATGCTAGCGTGGCTATTTATCTACGCGCAAATTTCACCGCATGTCACCTTCTCTGCAAGCACACTATATTAAGCGGAAAATCTACTCGACTGCAGTAAGTTTATTTTGGCTCAATCGCTATAAGAGTAACCACCGTGGGCTACATATCTGAGCAAAAATGGTCCAATTTTTAGATAAAACTTTGAGAAATTAAGCAATCATTTTTTTGCAAAAAATTTTTTTATCTTTTTTGGACTAAAATTTGTGGCTCGCCAATTTACTTACAAAACAATACATAATTTTAGAGAGTCCAAATACGGATCCACATTCGTGGCAAAAGACCCGTGGAAATCTTTGACACGAGAGTGAAGGACCGTGTATCGAAGACTGCAGCGACCGCATGTATTGCAGAATGCAAAAGCAGTAAGTTATTAAGAGAAATATCGATATGCGGCAAAAAACAGAGGTACACGTTTTCGAAGAGTCCTTGCAAACTTGACAGTCAATCACCGCGAGAACCATTGCCGACTTATTCTGAAAATCTAGTTCTTTTGATGGGTAGTGTCCGAAAAAGAAGGTCTGTGTATCCACTCACCTGCGAATTTTGCGTACAGACTGCAGTGTTCAGTACTGAGATCATTCAATATCTTCATTTTCACTAACGCAAAGACGATGTAGTTTGGCTTAGATTGTCTCTGTGTTTAGCTCATACTTATGAAGGAAGGTAGTCGGAACGTATGATACAGTCTCTCTGTTAGCTTGGTAAGTAACCCACGAAAGTGTTAGATATCGAGACTTAGTCGGAAGTTATCCGCAAAGATTTTTTGACCTTTTTATGTAGTTAGTCATGAGCTTATCCCTTTACAGATACGGTAGCAAAATTTAAACACTTGCTATTATTGTGCTCTTGATCAGCACATCCCTTGCATATGAACAAGCGATAATTGTAATGACTTAAGAGAAGAAGCTTGTACATATCCTAGGCTGCTGAGACGGTGAAGAAATTTCATTTAAATTTCTAAAATACTAAGAGTTCGGCATTGTTGTTATTTGCTTACTCTGTATTTTAAAACAGTTGCTTTAAGCGCAAAGGAATGGACTGCCTTTTGATAACTCACTCACTACCAAAAGACGAATTCTGTAAACCTAGGTAGTGTCTACGTAATCCTGTTTGCTTTTGTTTTTACAAGCAGCACCCACATCTCTAGCATGCCTTCACCTTTCAGGACAGTTGCATGGGTTGCATCAGCAAGAGCCAATGGCGTGTTCGCATATTTTATTTGTATGATAAAATAATAAACCTTGCTTCAACGAATTGTCACACACATTATCACCCGCGTGCCTTACAGTGTTGCTACTATGGAGATTTTGCGATATTGTTCTGCCCTTTATTTACCAGATTTTAAATTCAGAACATTAATGTCGAGAATGAGTTGTTTCTTCTTCAGTTAGTAAGTGCAAAAGTTGTTATTGCCCACATTGGCATTCCCTCCATCCTGAAAGCAGAAAATCAGTGAATTCAAAGATGCAACTTTTGAACTTGACAGCTCTCCTAGTAAATACGTTTCATTATCAATGACCGGCTAGAGTTAGGGGGTTGGATCGTAGGTGCCCTTTATTTTTATTTCTTTTCTAAAGGTCTGACCTTTGTATCCTTCTCCAGTCTCTATTATACGAACAGTCTAGATTCATAATTGTTATGTAATAAAACAAAAAACCAATGCTACATCTTGTCAAGTCATCGGAAGTTTTAGCGTAACGATAACTGCATTTGGAGAGAACTGATTTCTAGCCAAGTTTTTACTGCAATTTTTCCCCGATGCACTCCATCCAACAACTTTTTCACTGATGTTGGGCAGGAAGAATATACTAGAATATACACCACCAAATGAGACAAGATTTCAACGAATTACACATCATCAACTGCAAAACTAAGACCCTTAAATACTATGCTAATCAGAGTAAAATTAGCCTAAATTTATTCCTTTAACCAATAATGGGTGACTGCGTAGATTGTGCTTCGAATGCTTAGGAGTTTTTGCTATGAGGTGAAGTTGGCAACAAACACCGTAGTGAAGAGGATAATGCGTGAAGTTGCAAAATATTCTCATTTTGAAAATTGACCAACAGCTTGAAGAGTAGTAGAGTATAGCCGTCAGTAGTTAACGGCGCCCTAGAAAGCTTTCTATAAGCCCGTCAGCGACTCCAAGATATCTGACGTAGTCTCGTCATTCTTAGCTATCTGAATATAAAATTCGTCCGTTACATTTATCTCAATTAATCTCACACAGTCAATGCGGAGTGAGCATACTGTGTTCTTCGCCAACTTGCTAAGCGTTGCTTTCATATCATGCTAGAACAGCCGAATATATTCATCTATATATCCTGATTTCAATGTGTACAAAACACGAAGACTGTCGTAGCAGTCTGTCCTGCCATAAAAGTACGTTTTTTTGATTTCGCATTAATTTTCTCTCTGAGCCCCACTAGGATCCAGTTCTTATTAACATCCCTTGGTCAATCTTAAATGTTGCTATTGACTCTAGGCGGAAAGTGAGGACGAATGCTGATCTGTCGTATCAAATATAAATTAATGTTTTACAAGAAACTAAAGAAGAAATAACACTATTCTTCAAAGTTAACAAATGAAAAGCCATCTCATCGCAACGACGATATGCGACAAAGTACATAGCTTAATTTTTATCAACCAGGGGAATATATGCGCCCCGCTCATACACTTAAATATGATGTCATAAGCTCTAACTCTATAATGAGTCATAAGCTTTAGCTCTATAAAAGTTGCAGCTATTTTCCCCTGGTCATAAATTGCATATAAGCAATTTATGACCAGAGGAAAATACAACTCAGATTAACAACTTCCAACTTTTTGCTCTACAAAAGTTGAAGCTGTAAATTAAACTGCTTGCAAGGAGATCTTCAAAAATCGAAGTGGCTAATCCAAACGAGCTGCATACCATTAGATGCCGCATAAAATGCTGACTTCGAACCTGTATTCCATATCTGCTTAGCACCTATGTGAGCGAAGTTATGAGCCGTTGAAAGCCGTAATTCTGTCAAAAAACTGCAAAGCACAAATTCTGGCAATAAAGAGCTATCGGCTTAATGTTGGGTCAAAACATGCAGCTAGTTTACTTTATATTCTTAAAGCCTAGAGGTGAGCTGAAACTGCAGCAATCTGCTCAATTTCGCAGTTTTTATGTAATATTTTTTCGCAGTAAAACTACTCATGACATTATCCAGAAAGGAAGGCGATAAGCAGATAGAAAATACAGATTCGAAATCAGTTTTGAATGCTGCATCGAATGGTAGGCAGCTTGCTCGTAGCTTCGACTTCTAACCATTCCCTTGTTAGTTAGAGCGTATGAGTCTATATACAAGTGCATAATATCAAACTGGGCCTATATTTTTCCCTGTTTGATGAGGTCCTTTGTTTCCTTTTTTAGTCTTTGAATATGCAAACAAACCTTGGGCTTAAAGACATCCTCGTTGTTCAATCCAGCTAATGTTTGATAGTTTGGATCATACGTTCCCATCATCTTGTTTTCTGCAGGCGGTCTAATATTGAATGCACCCCCACCGCCTCCTCCTCCTCCCCCTCCTCCTCCTCCTCCTCCTCCTCCTTCTCCTGCGCCCTGAAAATAGCACTATACACTAAGCAAGTCATCACGTGACCGAATCTGATTATGTACGTGAGGATAAGTGTAAGAAAAGGGATGTGATACCAGACGGCTGCAAAAGAGTAGCAAGAAAAGCGTGCCAGTTGACTGAGGAGTGGGTATACCCCAGATTGGGGGTCTATGCTTTACTTACAAGAGTTATTTGACTAATGGCTTGTTTTATCTGTGCAAAGGAGTTTAAGCAATGGAGGCAATTTCTGTACTCATGTGCTAATTTTACCTTGCCAGATTTGAACTTGATTTGCGACTCTTTGTGTGTGCGTAGGAACAAGCGAAAAATATCAGAATCAGTTGCGCATTCAATTCAGACTAAACTTTGCACTTATACATTTGTAGACGCAAGTGAAGTAAGCCACCAAAAAGACTGTCTGATTGCACCAACGTGCTATTTCTAAGTAAGACTTTTCGCACACGAGTAGTGAGCGTTACTAACGTGAGTAGTATATTGATCATGCAGAGGTGTACACCATCAACTGTTAGTTTTTCTCAAGAAATGGTTCTTTTGAGGCTTCCTATTATTCATTCTCTGACTAGGAGACGCGCGCACGCTTTGCGTACATTTCATTAACAAGTTCATGAATGAGTTTCAACGCGTTTTGGTTGATTTATTTTTAGAACTAGCTGGCGTCCCCGGTCCAAGCCGGAAGGGGTTGAACTGGTTCAGCAAAGCACGAAAGTTTGTTCTCGCTTGTTAATAACTCACCCTCTCTTCTTGGCTGTTACTTCATCTTCACTGCTCCTTCCTTTTCTATGTTCTTGCTCCGAATCGTGCAGCCGTTTCCATTGGAAGAATTTGTCTTCCTTTCTCTCCCGCCGCGGAACACCGCATCCTCCTAGCTGCGAACAGTAAATGAAACTCACCGCCCTCGTTTATCTACAGAAAATGCTTGTTCAAAATTGAAAAGCTTTCATTTTTCTACATGTAAGTAAAAAAATCAACTTGTTGATCAAACGTACGCAAAGCGTGCTCGCGTCTCTTAGTCAGAGAATGAGTGATACTTATAAACGTTAACCATTCCATTTTTCAAACTTCTGTAGCGCGGTGTCGTTCTATCCACCTGGTTGCAATTACTGCAAAGAGCACTACAGTTCTTCTTAGCGGGCTCATATCTACGTGGTGATTTCCAACATAATTGTAACCTCATAACTCAGTGTTTCGAGGCCGACAACATTGAGTAAGTAACGTGTTCACTAACACCAGTTTTTTTTTGCAAGCCACTTATCGACATCTGCAGCATGACATTTGCTTTCGAGCAAAATTTGTCCCAATGCTGACAATAACCGTTAATCTTTCTTGATTCACGTGGGAAATGATTTGAAGCAAGAGCTGAACAATTTTGGATTCTTGACAATGAACGACGACTCACAGTTGCGCATGATTTCAATACAATAGTGTACTATCTAACTTACAAGAAAAATGTACTCGATGTGGCAATTGGGTAAGCAAAGTATATCGCTGTAGCATATCAAATTTCAGTGTACAGCTGAGTAAAGCATTCTATGAAAAGCAAAAAACAGTCTGGTAAGAAGGTGACTACTGCCGATACTGGACATTAAATTAACTTTTTTGATGTCGACAGGTTTTATACCTTGTCTGCTGGGGGCTGCAAAAATGCAAAACGCATGCCATCTAAGGAGAATCAATCCCACGACGTCCATCTACGCAGTACACGCCACTATACATTGCACCAGTCGACCATCTGACCTTTGATACAACTGTATTGGCAGAGGGAAGGTGATACAACTGGATTGGCAGATGAAGGCGGGGCAATGACCTAATTGAGAATTAGGCTGCGTTCATACTGATCCCGAAGTTCGGGAACAGTTTTAGCACAGCGCTCGAAGTTAGCGCTGTGCTGGAACTGTGCCCGAACTTCCGGATCAGTATGAACGCAGCCTTAAGAGTGATCAGACTGCACGCTTGAGAGAGAGGAAGAGAGAGAGAGACAGACAGACTGCGTCGCGGGCGCGAGCGGTCGCCTGCCAACCTCCTATCTCGCTGAATCAAAGGGTACGTTGTGGGAGTTCCAGTACTCGAAAGTGCCTGTGGCATCAAAAATCCTTTATAATTCTTTCAGAATGACGGCTTAGCAGATATGGAGTGCGAATTAGAATCATCGTTCAGGGACGCTATAAGCGATATCATCGCTTACCCGATCGACACTGCGATCAAGTATCCTTTCTTGTTAGAAACCACGTTCTAAGATTTGAAAAACACGCAAGCGACAAAAGGCACAGGCACTCATTCTTACCTCTACCACAAAGCGTACGCTTTCTGAATCTCACAAGGGAAGGCATCTAATTAGGTCGGCCTTTCGATAAACGGCGCATATAATCGGAATCAGCTTGAGCTGATTTAAATTTGTTGTTTCTAGTTGCGAAGCATTATTCTGAAAAGAGCTACGAACTTTTTACTACACGCCGTTGACGCACAATTGAACATGGGAAATTAGCCTATAAGTAGAAATCTGCTTATAAAAGGTGCTGGAATATTGAAATAACATCGAGTCAAGTGTTTTGGTGCTGATAGGAGCATTATGCATGTGCACTATCTCTGGATGTTGATACTGTAATCTCTGTAAGTCGATTACCATTCAAATTTTGCCCAGGAAAAAACTCATAACTCTGTTCAGAATAACTTCTAATAACAGCTAGCTAAAAGATATTTGAACTTAGAGTTTCAAGCTGACTCCAAAACAAGTATCGTTTTTCAAAAGTCCGGCCTAAGTTAGGTGACTTTCCCCGTCAGCACGAACCATGACTGCAGCGCACCGTCAGCCACGCTTGACTCTGCTCGTAAAGGAATGGAGACAATTGCTAACTTTTTAAGTCAATACCCCTACTCTAGTTAATTCGCATTCGCATATGCTGATCACGTAAACATCGTGCATTGTCATAAATACTAATGTATTGTTACCTTTGGCTTGAAGACGTCCTCGTTGTTTAGGCCAGCTAGTGTTTGGTAATTTGGATCATAGGTGCCCATCATTTTGTTCTCTGCTGGAGGTCTAATATTCATCTTCGGTGGAACACCTCCTCCGCCACCACCACCACCACCCTAAGTAAAAAGTCAAGTTTTGTGTGTATCAATTGCTCAAATTTCTGAATCGGGTGATGGAACTATTGAAAAGAACTACACTGTTAGGTGAAAGGATAGGACACTTTTAGAAGATATGATATGCACCAATCGCCCGATTTCACAATGGGTTCTTATCATTACTGCAAAAACCCATTTGATCGGGTGCCGAACACCCAATCAGCGATATATCAGCCTCCTGCTCAGATTAACACTCAAATCACTTCTTAGCGAAAGGGCGTAGCACTGCAGACGTCCTGAAGTCGTGGTTCACTCTTATCACGACACTAATAAAGTTGCTGAAACAGAGCTGCGAAAATGTCCGAACGCTGAAGACAATAGCAGTGCTTGAACTCTCGCGATCAAATGCGTAGCCGTCATGAGCATCATTTTTAGATATTGACTATATAGGCTGACCTAGCTGCATATAATTGCTCAGCATTGAGCCGGACATGACTCTGTGCGGCCAAACTTGCACTTTGCATACGCGATTTTCTAGCGATATGTTATGATGGCTAATAGCTTCATCCTCAAAGGCGTTCAGCAGATATGGAAGACAGATTCAAAGTTGGCGTCTTCTGCCTCTAATGGTATGCAGCTTGTTTGACTTAGCCCCTTTGACTTCTGACCATTTCTCTGTTCGTTTGACGTGAAATATGAGGAATTTCAATACATACACGTCGGCTATGCAGCTTTTGATCGCAAAATATCGAGCACTACTCATTATTGACTCCTAGTAGATAGGGCAATATCCTAATGTTGTTGATGCGATTTAGCAACTCTGCACTGCTCAGCCTTTCTATCGTTGGGGGAAGTAACATCGACTCTAAGAGTAATAGTTTTGCGTAAAGACATGTTGACGATATCTCGTAGTGTAGAGTACATCACTGGTTTATTTTTGGATGCGGCGGTCCTGGCCCATCATATTTGTGAGAGTCGGTCTTGATCAGCAAAAACGTCGGGATATACCTTAGATAGTCTAGAGACAGGGCGCCAAAAGTGAAGGCTGTTTGAACATCTGACCTAATAAAAAGTGAAAGTTGTTTAAAGAAGATTAGAGAAGAAAAAAATGACGTAAAATATATATAGAAAGCAAAAGAAACTGCTGAAAACAGGATAAAAACGCTGCAATGAGGTTTAAAATCTTCCATTTGGCGGCTTTTCAATGTCCAAGTTTTCGCTCCAGCACTAGCAATTCGCAACACTGGAAAAAGCGAGGAAGAGCTAATTCTTTGGTGATTGTTTCAAAAAAACATGTTTCGGAAGGAGAGGTTATCAAGAAGTTGAACAAGAAAGAGATTAGTTATAAAAACGCAAAGTTTCTTTTCTACTGAGTCGAAAAAAAACGTAAAAGCCAAATTCAATTTTTGATGCGTCCTTTGAATTTTTACCCCCGCATTGACGTTCCTGTTTCCTGGGACGTTGTCTAAATTGTTGCGCTTATTGTTCTGAGCAACAGTCGCCTAAGCTGGAGAAAAAAAATCGCTGCGAAAGCGCTGAAACAGAACAAGCTAAAGAGAAATGCACTTTTTGCGATTTTTCGCAAAACATTTCACTATAATCGAAGAGATAAGGGCTGGGTGGTTGTCTGCATTATGAACAGAAGTAAGATCTATATAATGCACGAAAAAACCGCGTCAAAAGAGTTAAATCAGGAGAAAAACAAGAGATTCTCGAAAACGAGGTTTTTGCCGGAATTCTCGATCAAAGAAAAATGTGGTTTTGGGAGTTGTCAGCGTAAAAATAGAGATCAAGAGCTTCAGAATGATATATAGCTTGCCAAAATTGGGTTTGAAACAGCGAAGAAAAGGGTACCAGAGCCAAATGCCTCGCGCCCCGCTTTTGGGGTAGCGAGGTAGCGCGCAGCGCGCGGAGACGCAGAAGAGCAGCGGAGACAGACCAGAGCCGACGGGGGCATTCGGCTCTAATCGTGGATCTCCGCGGGGTCTCAACGAAACCCTGCAACATTATATATCATTCGGATCCTCACGACACGACGAGAAGAACGTCCCAAGCTTAAAAAATCACTCGTTAACGAGATAGACCAGCGTATTCGTGCGCGACTCTCTGCTCAAGATTTAAGCGCGGTTTCTCGTTTTTATGCACCTCCAACAGCTCTCCTGAACTTCTGAAACTCGACTTTGGCCATATAAGAGGTTAACTGAGAAGTGTTGTACTGAATTCTGGCGAAAATTTCATAGAAACCTTCTTTTCAACGTAAAAAAAAGCTATGAAAACACAAATCCTCGGTTTCCCTGAGATAGCGCAAAGGTATTATTCCCTATATTTGCTTCATTAACATTCGTTCCGATATAGTCAGGAAGGATATTAGCATCCGGGGCTTTCCCCCAGATGACTTCCGCTTTTTTTTCAGGTGAATTGTGTCCCCTGATAGCCCTCAAAGTGAAGGTTACCAGAGTATGTGGCTCTATGTATCAAGGGCATGGGTCGGGATGTTGTTGCATGGCTGATCGGTAACTGGCATTTGATTAAATGAAGGTGAAGTGATGAGAAAACAGTTTGGAGACCGGGCTATTGATGCGTACTATCTGAGAATGTATTCACAACTGTAAAAAAACTTCCTACCTTTGCTTGGAAAACATCTTCGTTGTTCAGCCCTGCAAGAGTTTGGTAATTGGGATCGTACGTTCCCATCATTTTGTTTTCTGCTGGTGGTCGAATGTTTAGTGGTGGAGGAACCTGCGCAACTCGTGTATACACTTATGATCATGGACAAGTAAGGGTTCAAACTTCCAAAGAAAACTGACGCACCGCTGGTTGTGCTCCTCCTGCGCCCGGCGTTCTCTTTGGAGCAGTTATCTAAATAACGCTCCTTCCCTTTTACGATGCTTTTTTTATGACAATTTGTTTAAGTTTCTTTTGTGATTGCACAATGCATGGGGTGCTCCTACGTTTAGTTGTAAAAAGCCATGTGTACCTATTTTTCGCTTTGCTATTAGAAGAACAATTACGCAAAGTAAGATTATTGCTACACACCCGATTTTAGATTGAAAGGGTTCAACTCTTGCAGATTTCACACATATTCTTGGTACTTTGGAAAGGATACACAAACTTGAGATATCTTACACTACGCGGTTTCGAAGTGTTCAAGTAACTTCATAGGCATCGCACTGAAACCTGACGTGAGCGATTGCTATAACTACAAATCGAAAGTTTCGCGAATGGTATAGGCAATTCCTATGTATAGCGGGCCTGCAGACATTTTAACACGTTGGAAAACTTTTAAAATTTCCATTCTAAAGCATTAGTTTTTGTACTCTCTTGGTATCAAAAACTGCGACGCGGATACGTTGGCAAAGCTCCGCCCGTTATACTGAGGGAATAGACGATATATTGTTGAAAGCACTGTAGTCTTTGTCGTTTGGGTTGTCTAGTCGTACGACACAATGAACCGCAGTATTACATGTAAAGAAAGTAAGGCGTCCGGCTGAAGTACATGTTGTTCACGGCCATACCTTGGTCTCCACAAAAGCGCGCGCGATTTCTCATGGTTGTCGACTGCGCCCTCTGCCACTGCGTTGTACATATTCTCTCGACGGCAGGTAGCAAAGAGCAAAGTAAGGAGCGGCAGACAGAACAGTGGCTCGTAGAAGCAGGGTAGACACATGCAAGCTTCGATGTCTCTAAGACTGTTTTTGTAACAGTTGTAAAATTGCGCACTGCTGTAAACTGTGCTAAATAATATCCCCTGAAGCGCCTATTGGCGACATAATTTCTACATTCCAAATCATTAGTCGTGATTTCAAATTAACTCACTATGCTGTCCGGTGATCTAGGAGCCTGGAACACGATCATCTTTAGAGAACTCTTTCGAACTATTTTTAACGAACCCTTGACGATTTTCTGTTGGAGCAATATATTTGAGTAATAATAACCCATATGAATTGTAAGGAAGCTAGTACATATGGGAAATGAACCTGAACGATAACAAGCAATATGGTAAAATAACCCAAACTGCCTTCTATTCAGCACATCGATGCTGGCAGATGCTAAATTGAGCTTGTGTATGATCTGTGCCAGAGAATTGTCCCGTAAGTGCTACAAACGCAACGACTTTTTGCTGGCTTCAAGACAACGTCACCCAAATTGAGAGTGGTAAGATTAGATAGCGCCCTCCTAACTAAGTAAACGCTTGAAGGCAGCGTCCAGGCAAGTCTGAACACATGGGGATCTCATGTGAATAGTAATTTTGGGGCCCTAACTAAGCCACTGCCCAACCGGCAGCTCAAATAGTGCTCTAACGGCTGTGATGTTCCCCTCGAAACTGGACCCCGCGATCGTATTTCGCATGGATTCATGGCGCAAAGGTGTGTTCTGGCGCGAAAATGCCATGAATCCATGCGAGTACGATCGCGGGGTCCAGTTTCGAGGGGAATATCTCAGCCATTAAAGGACACCTGCGCTCCGCTTGGGCAGTGCCTTAGTTAGGGCCCCAAAAGTACTTTCGACGTAAAATCCCCATAGGTCCAGATCTGCCTGGACGCTGCCTTTGAGACCCGCTGCAAATGATGAATTGCAGAAAAAATTCCGAAGGTAACCTTTGATTCAACCGGCTTGGCACCATTGGGGCGGAGTTTTGTGATCTAATTGAGGCCGCTCGCGCCCTCGACGCACCTGCGTCTCCCCCGCGCGAGTGCTCTCTGATTAGTACCTAGCCTTAATTATGTCATGAAGCCCCGCCTTTGCCGATGCCAAGCCAGTTTAATCAAATGGTAGTAGCGATGGACTCGCACCGCCCTCGGCGTGGGTGGTCTGATGATAAAGTCCAAAATTGGGGTTCAATGTGTCCAAATTTGTCGAGAATCCCTCTAGATTATCAAAGTTCTGGCAGTTCCGAGCACATTCCTCCAATGTTGGATTATTATCTTCAAATCCCACCACGTTGAAAGGTTATTACTCCTCCATCAGCAGTATTCTCGATCCAGAGTTCATTTTTTGCACCACTTGGAGTGCTTACTCCAAAAACTTTAAGAACTAATCGTGCCGCTATCGTACCTTAGCAAAATTACCACTTCCAATTAGGGTGGACGGTGCCTTTATCCCGTTCTCGCAGAAGCATCATGTAAATGTTTTAGAAAGACGGTGTTCTCGCACAATTTTCAACAGCCACCTTAATCACTCGTCCAAGTCACGCATGCGGCAAATTTGTCCTGCTCACCTGTTTTGCTTGGCAAAAGTTGCCGCAGGCTGTATCGCGCACTTCGTGGCATGTGGAATATCTCTGACGGCATTGATGTCGTGCGATTCGGCCTGCAGCCGCACAAAGGCCAACGGGCTACGGAAAGTTTCATGGAAGACAATGGCCGTTTAGTCTGTGTCCCAGCGTTTTTCCCCACCCCCTCTCCCTCTCCCCTCTCCCCCCCCCTTCCCCAAATAACGGGAAGATCCTTGTTTCGTTGAAGTGGTCATGTGGGAAATGACGCATATGAATAGATGCTCTTCAAACGCTGATCTCAGATATGTTTTCGCTATCTGCGAAACCTTTCTTTAAAAAGAATTATGGGCTTTTGTTTCCCCCAAAAACGGGCTTCCCTCTATCAAGGCGCGGCAAGGCATTTACGTTGTGGCTGCGTGGTGCAGTATCAAATGGCTGCGGTTCACAGGTGAGTAAGCAGGGTCCGAGTCCTGTTGTCGCTCAGCAATTCTGCATTTTTCTATAATTATTGCTTGCCTTTGAAAATGCCACACAAGGACAGCTTATCGTAATCTCGCTACAAGTGATCAGTTTTTGAATGTGGCCAACTGTGGAACTTCTTTAGCTACAGATAAGAAGCTGCCTTAAAAATGTTTAAAAAAGGCATAGAATTTCGATAGCCAATCTCTTGCCGGTCTTTCAAGCGCTAAGAATAAGCGCGTTTTGAATTATTAACGCATAAGAGTTAAGAACACTACAAATAAAGCCGTCCATATGCGCCATTTTCAAAGGTAAGCAAAAATTTTAGAAACATGCAAGATTGCCGGGCGACAACAGGACTCGAACCATAGTTGCGATAGGGGGAGTGATGGATCTTACCCCCTTCACTTTGAGGCCAAACTCCCGACGACCCCCTTCACCTGGGCTGAGATTGGTATTGTACTCTGAGAATATGATAAAAATCGTTATTAAAAGGTTTTGCAGGCTAAGTTCCTCAAACAGCAAGCACACTCATAAATTTACTAAAGTAACGGTATTTATATTTATTTATATTATTTATTTATCCTCGTAGCATTCATTTGGAGAGCAGAAAGTGAAGGCACAAAATCAGTTAATTTTTGAAGCACATAAAATCCCTCATATCTCGCGACACAGAAGACCTAGAAAAGAGTCGACGGTCTACGTCGATTCTCCATGATCTCAGCTTTCGAATGGTATACAGCATGTTAGGGCTTCTTTGCTTCCCGGCTCTAAATATCATTTGCTCCGGTAACCGATAAAAGCCAATACATTGGTGGAGCCGGATTGGAGCAAGCTAATAGTAAATATCTCCACCCCATTTTTGAAAACTGGTCTGTTTTTTCGCCCAGCAATCTATATACCATTCGAAAGCTCAGGAAAAGGGGATTCGATCTAGACCGTCGACTTCTTTCTAGCCCCCCTCTACCGAGAGATACACCGCATTTTATCTGGAAACATGGTCATTTTCAACAGCAGATTTCTGCCAAATGAAGACCTAATCACTGCTGATTATCTATCTATGTTAAAGAGCAAGTCTTCATTAACAAACGTAGACCGTCGACTTTCTCGTAGCATTCATTTGGAGAGCAGAAAGTGAGGGCACAAAATCAGTTAATTTTTGAAACACATAAAATCCCTCATATCTCGCGACACAGAAGACCTAGAAAAGAGTCGACGGTCTACGTCGATTCTCCATGATCTCAGCTTTCGAATGGTATACAGCATGTTAGGGCTTCTTTGCTTCCCGGCTCTTAAAATCATTTGCTTCGGTGACCCGTAAAAGCCAACACATTGTATAGATCGTCCCAAAAGTTTTTGCGCACGATTTTTAAAAATTCATAACTTTTAATTTTTCCGACCGGTTTGACTGCTTTCATTTTTATTTGAAAGGGTAAGTCATGCTCTTTATAATGACATCTCTGTTGCTTAGTAATGCTCATCTATTACATAGATAGAAGCTCAAAACCAAAATCACTCAAAATTTGAATTTTTGTGTAGGGTCATAAAAAATCAGAAACTTGCAACAAAAATCGGAGCAGTCGGTATTGTAGGTTCTTTCACCAGCTCTTTCTAACAGTGCAAAGTTTGCTCCGATTGAGCGTCTCCATGAAAAGTTATGATTTCCGAGCAAGCAATACAAAAAGGCGAATTTGATTTATTTTGGCATTTTTCAGGGAAATCATAACTTTTCATGGAGACGCTCAATCGGCGCAAACTTTGCACTGTTAGAAAGAGCTGGTGAAAGATCCTACAGTACTGAATGCTCCGATTTTTGTTGCAAGTCTCCTTTTTATGACCCTACACAGAAAATTAAAATTTTTACCATTTTTCTTCTATCGCTCCTATCTATGCAACAGATGACCGTTACTAAGCAGCTGAGAAGTCATTATAAAGAGCATGACTTACCCTTTCACATAAAAGTGAAAGCAGTCAAATCGGTTCGAAAAATCAGAAGTTATGAATTTTGAAATTCTTGCGCAAAAACTTTCTGGACGATATAATAAGAGCGAGGTGGAGCAAGTTAATAGTAAAAAATGTGCTGTGGATTGACATCGTTATCAGCACTAACGGGAACGTGAGCGAACGCGTCTATTTGGGCGTCCTTATCGTTGTTATATGTTTATGTTTTTTTGGTAAAAAATGCGCTTTTGATTGACAGTTATGCCATCATTATTAGCGCACACTCAAAAAACTATGGGAGATTGGTAAATTTCCACACCTTCACACAAAAACCTGCCCATTTCTGGAATCTATACTCTGTAAACTAGTGCTGAAGAAGGTCACTTTCATGAAAACGACTTCTAGACTCACCTTACCTAATTTGTAGAGAACGTGGTTGAGTTCAGTGAATCAAAAACTTTAAGACATTCAGAAGAATAACATGTTATTAAATTATTCCTCAATGTTTTGGAAAGGTTGGCAGTTTGAAGAGGAAACGGCAGGCAGAATGCTTTACAAAATCGCAGATGAGTTCCAGTTCAATAGCGAGACAGAAGGAGAATCTTACGCCAACGAAAATGTTGTCGACATTGACACAGAGTTGACAATTGAGCGAAACTCTCTGATTTCCTGCATAAGGAATCCAAGCAGATTGTCTAGTTTCAATAAGGAAATGTCCAGGAAGTCCATTGCCGGTCTTCAGGTTGCTGAAGAATTCAAGGCTGCTAAATTCACAAACATGGATATGAACAAAAGGAAGGTGTTAGTACAAAGCATAGTTACTGCACTTAGATCCCCGGCTGGAGTGCGAACCCAACTCTGTGCTTTATGCTTTTGGAAGTTATTCGCCTTGTGACATTATGACCTATGATATTGAAAAAAAACCAACGCGCAGCATAGTATCTACTTTTTTTTCGGCTATTCTGCAGATGCTGTTGAAGAAGAAGTTGCAGCTTTCTCGTCAGTTAACAGGAAGTATGCCAGAGGAGGTGAAGCCAGAGTTCGAAAAGGCCCAAAAAAGTATGCACTATTTCCTTCTCGTGTTGCGAAAGCATATGCGATCTGGCTCTTTTCCCATTACTTACCGCAAAAATCTGATGGACTTACTAGCAAAGCTAGTTTGCATTCCGACTAGCACGGCAGAGGTGAAGAAAGAAATTTTCTATCTACTCTGTTATCAGAACACAACGCAGAAGTCGTACAACGATAGAGCATCTAAGCAAATACTTAAGATTTGTCACCTTCTACTAAACACATTGTTATCTAAAAACTTCATTTAAAGGATTGGTATAAGTGGTCCAGACAGGCTGTTACCGTATGACTTTTTGAAATATCCTAAAAGATGGTATGAAGAAACTGGTCACCTACCTGCTGACTTCCTGATGCTACCAGAGGGCCAGGAAAAAAATCACAAAAGTGCTCAGAAGAAGAAGAAAGTTTCAAATCCATTTTTGACTTAGAACGCTTTGCACGCAATTCTACTTCCACTCCGATGACCTTTTGGAGGAAGAAGAAGATTTTTCAGGCACCGAATTTGTTGTCTCTGACGTTAGCGATAGTGATATTGTTGATGATGATGCGTAGGAAATGAAGTTGTTTCTAACTTCTACATCTTTGGGATAAACCTTATTGCTTTTTTTGTTGATGCAGTGAAAGAGGAGCACAGATCTTATTAATGAATTTTTTTAAATTTTTAAATTTCTTTTGAAATTTTTGAATTTTTTTTCAATTTGTGCCTAAATAAGGTACAAATTAGAGCTTTTCATACCACGCTTTCTTACCTTTTCTCTCTTCCCCCCCCCCCCCCCCCCAGACTCACATACCCCCTTCACCCTGGAAGGTCGGGAACAGCCGAGACCCCCTTCACCTGGGGAGATCCCGGCTCCCCTCGCACCTATGACTCGAACCCTGTTCCCTCACCTGTAAACCGCATCTCCTCACCACTACACCATGCCTGAACGATAAGTTCTGGGGAACAAGTCACTAATGATGTTTTTGTCTTTCACGAATCGATTGGTGACGGCACCAAAAATTTAACCTAAGGCTACGGGCAGAATTCACTTTTATCGCCCCGCGATCCTCCAGCAGAACAATTACCCTATTTTCCGGAGTGTAAGGCTCACCCATGTATAAGGCGCACCTGCAGCGCGAACGTTAACGCGAAAATTGTGCCCTAAGTTTGAGCTTCGGTTGAGCTGTACTTTAATGGACTACATCTATACTTCACTTGGAGATTGCTAAATGGGCGCTTCAGAGACAGAATGTCAATGCTTTCAATTTTCGGGAAATGTTAGCGAAAATTTGACTAGATATAGACATAAACGAACTCAGTGACAGATTGGATGAGTTTGAAACGGTAACAGTACGGGTGTTTCAGTGTAAAATTATGGTCTACCTGACTATGATGAATTAAACATAGAGCAGACTGATTTTCCGAAGAACTCATGATAACAAGTGTTTGAACAGAGAAACAATGTACAAAACTGTCGCGAAAAGCTAGTGCCGCTGCCCTTGCGGCGTCGCACATCGCCCGCGTCGTCGCGAAATTGCTCGCGCGCGGTGCACGAAAATGCTCCTTGAAGGCAGTACCTCGGCAGAATGAGACCCGTAACAAAACAAGGTCACAGGGTAGGAGCCCCCATATGGAACCTATCGGCCAAAGTCCGACCTTTCTCCGCCACTTCTAACCCCCGAAATTTCAAAGCGAAAGCAGCGCTTATCTCCCGTCCTCTCCGAACCCGCCCACCCCATGGACGAGTGACTTCCGCGGTCAGAGCGCCAGCCGCAATGCTATAAGCATGAGGTCCCGCAACGACTCTACGTCTTCGCCATGACGGGCTTCGCGTTCACTAATCCGTGGGATGGGCGGGTTCGGAGAGGACAGGAGATGAGCGCTGCTTCCGCGTTAAAATTTCGGGGGTTAGAAGTGGCGGAGAAAGATCGGACTTTGGCCGACAGGTTCCATATGGGGGCTCCTACCCTGTGACCTTGTTTTGTCACGGCTCTCATTCTGCCGAGGTACTATCGCGTGAAGTATGCCCGGCCCTTTATACTCCGGAAAATAGGGTATTACGAGTTCATTGCAAGCCGAACAACTTGCAATCGGTTATGATTTTCCGACAGAACGATCGTGAGTAACAATCACAACCGAAATGCAAAGTGATCGACAACAATGGACTCGTAACAGCTATCTTGTTGGAAGAATCGCGAGGTGATGGAATCGCGTGAACTCTGCACGAGGCCTAAGTGATGAATGTCTATAATCTTGGTTCCGGCTAAAGAAGACAATTGCGTTACAAACCTTGGCCAAGATTCACAAACTACCGAGTTCGGAGTCTTACCAAGAAAATCTGGAACGTTCTCGCATTTCAATATAAAGCTCGCGCAGAGTTTCTGTAAGGTGGGCAACGTCCAGCGCCGACAATACGCTCTAGGAGTGTCCATACTTAGCGAAATGGGAGGGAGCGAAAAGCTTCCCATCAAGTCCCATACGGGCTTCGCGCATGACATTTTTCGCTCCATTAGTTATGCATCAGCTTAGATGGGAGCCCAGTGGAGAAAGAGGAGAATACCTTTCGGCGAATTCCCTTTTCAGCTACCTGATGTCCCCTCCCGTCCAAAGGTAGACCTTAAAAAGCAACCCTTTTGTGAAGATGCTGCATTTGAGCATACGAGGCGTTGGAAAGCCTGGTAGATTGGTTGATGGTAATCTAGTTAGCGTTATGGTAATCAAGACGGTCGAAGGGGAGTTCACCACTCGGTGTACAGCCTAGTAGTTTGTCCTAAAATAGTATAGCTGCAGTACTGAGATGTTGCGGTTAACAAAATCTGCACCAGAAGAGTAATTCTGAGTGCAATGTAAGGATAATTGCGCAACAGAAGAGTGCTCAGTAGGAGAAAATTTAGGGGAAAATTTTTTAGGGGAAAATTTTCAAAGCATGCAAGGCGGCAAGGAAGCATGAGAGTAGATACATGATTTTTCTTGGCTTAGCCAGTTCGTTAATTTCAAACTAGGGAAACCAAAATGAGCTGCACGACCCAGTGCGAAACAAAATCGCCCTATTGGTGGAAGTTCTTTGGTCTGTGGAAACTTCATGACGACGATTTCTGAGAAGTGCCATCTAATCATCTACTTTTTGACATGATCTCATGCCCCCCAAACTTCGAACTACAGTAGGTATGTAGTCAGTGAAAGCCTACAGTCTCAAGTTTCCAGCAGTCCCACAGCAAGACATTATTGGTATTTTGAAGGAAGCTTCACCTTTGCAGTAGGTGAGAGACACTCACGTAGTCTAATAGCATTTCGTAAAGCACTGAGATGTAGCCCATACCGCTTCCAGCATCAACTTCTAGGAAATGAAGCCGACTACGTCGAGCGTTCAACTATGGGGTTATCTGTGATGTGTTTTGATAATAAAGCATATCACATCATCCATTCTGGAACTAGTAGAGTCGAGAACGCTGTTGCAGACGTTATTTAAGAGGCTCAAGCATGTTCTCCTAGCAGTTTCTATAAGTTGACCACAAAAAACAAGTTCAAGCACAAGCATGAGTTTATCAACTCATTGGTGACGATGTGGACCACCGGTGGCCCACACCCCTTGCAAAATCATATCGGTCTAGCACTTTTTCCACAGTTCAATTTTTTTTCAATTTTTTGCACTGTGAGGACCTGTAGACTTCGTAGTCCAAGAAGATGATTTTAGTTGTTTACAGAACATCTTTACATTTCGTAATAATCACAAAATTTTCCCACGCCTAAAATGTTGTGCAAAATCGCGTCGTTTCACAGCGCCGCCATGCAAAATTAGGCGTGGTCGTCAATCAATCAGGCGTATGCAAAGCTAATGGGAAAAAATTCGTTTTGATTTTTTTAACTTGTAATTCTTTTTGGTTCGAAACCATCCGATACACCAAATAAACTAATCAAAAAGTTACAATGATTAGTGATGCAGAATCGATGTCTAGAACTGTGTACAATAAAAATATTTTGCAAAAACAATCATTGTGGAAGGGTTTTCTTTCACGATAGGTACTGGAACCGGCTTGAAAACAAAAGCAAATCTGTTTTGCAGACACATCATATTAGGTTGGTGCAAAAGTTTTGTCAGTTTTTTCAATCCATCGGCAAGCATGCTAGAATGAAGATAAACAAACACTTCAAAATGAGTCCGATGCAGAATTTCTTCCTCTTTCCAGCTGCTTAACTCCCATTGTGTTTCGTTGCAAGAATGACGAGATACTTGCAGGAAATTGCAACCACTCATTTTTACCATGTCCAACTTTCGCCGGTATTCAAAATTTTTCTAAGAGACTTCCAAAGAAGCCTTAATAACCAGCGGATAGGGCAAACCTTTTGCCAACAGAAGCAATTTTTGTAGCCCTACGGCTTGTCCTTCAAAATTTATACGATTTATTTCTTGATGTGACCAAATTGGGTGCGGGAAGTTTCTCACCCGAGCGATATTCTCGCACCTAAGTGATGTGCCTGCCAGGCACATCCGAGCTCGCTACAGTTACGAGCTCCTCAGGAGACCAAGACATCGCAAGCCCCGCCCTCTCATTTAGTGTTCGATGATGAAACCGAATTTCAGAGAAACTTTCAAAATCGAAGTTCAGAAGTGAATTTGCTCCAATCAAGACCAAATTTCGGATTTAGGGGTTTTCGAGGTTACTCTTTCTAGTAGTGTGATTTGTTTGTTGCAAAGTTGACGTTCAGCACCGATGATGCTTAAGATCAAAATTCGGATTTTCTTAGGTTTTCAATTTTCTATTTCAATACAAGACCAAAACTCAGGTTTAAGGGTTCTCGAAAATTTATGAATGGACAATTGAAAAAACATCCGGGCATGGATTTATATAAAATTTAGTCCTGAATACCAAAATACTGTTAAATCAAAATCGATTGAAGTAAACTTCAAAATGGTGCGTGTAAAGTGTAAATTTATGTTTTCTTCTTCCAGTCGCTTGTGAGCGTTACATTTTTCGTGGCTTTTCCATGTAATTTACTAAGTCTTGAAATACTGAAAATTTCCCAAAAACCAGAACAAATTTAAATTTGAATGTTTCCAAGATAATAAAGATGTTTTTCTCTCTTGTTTGACATTACTCCGAGTTTTCCACGTCTACTATGAAGCTTTCTGGCATTGAGCCAGCCTCGATGACCTCAGTGACCATACTATATCAGCTTCAAGAAATAGCTGGCTGGGTCATTTTAAGCGCTTTACCTTGACATATTCTTGAGAATGAAGTCAGGAGAAGAAAACACTACAAAATCACATACGTGTTCATGCATCTGGCACAATTCTATGAAAATAATCCGGTTTTTGCGAAAAGAACATTTTTTTCTCCAAAAAATTGTCCAAAAAAAACAAATCCTATTGATATTGATATTGCAAAACATATACCGTTACCTAAAAAGCGATTTCGAGAACCCTTAGACCTGAGTTTTGGTCTTGGATTGAAGTAGTTGAAAACCTCTAAATCCGAATTTTAATCTTGGTTAAGCATCACCAGTGCTGAACGTCGACTTTGCAACAAACAAAGCATACTACTAAAAAGAGCAACCTCGAAAACCCCTAGATCCGAAATTTGGTCTTGATTGGAGCAAATTCACTCTTGAACTTCGATTTTGAAAGTTTCTTCAAATTTTGCGTTTCATCATCTGGAGCGAACACTAAATGAGGGGGCGGGGCTTGCGATGTCTTGGTCTCCTGAGGAGCCCGTAGCTGTAGCGAGCTCGAATGTGCCTAGCAGGCACATCACTAGGTGCGAGAATATGGCTCGGGTGAGAAACTTCCGCCCCCCGACCAAATTTTGCAATCAGTTTATTTTAACCTCGTAGAACATAAAATTTTGAACATTTCGTCACCATTCAATGCAGAATTTTCTCCTCTTTCTAACACTTGTCTTTTTTGCCGAGACAGGCAAAATCTGTGAGAAGAATCGCAGTATTTCTAAATTTCAGGAGCGCGCACTGACGTAACCCTATGTTTCAAAATCTTCATAATTTGAAGCGAAAAGCGCTTATTTACTTTGTAATGGTATCAGTAGTAATAATCGAGTGCTGAAGCTCGTATCCTGTAGGTTTTGCAGTGTTTGGTGCAATAACAGGTTGTGCGATTTTTTCAAAACACAAGATTTTTAGAAAATTATTTAGCAAAAATCTAAAAAAGCAGCTGAAAAAAAGAAAAAAAATGCTTCTATTGGCAAAAGGTTTGCCCTATCTGCTGGTTATTAGGGCTCCTCGGGAAGTCTCATAGAAAAATTTTGAAAATTAGCGAAAGTTGGACATGGTAAAAATGAGTGGTTGCAGTTTCCAGCAAGTATCTCGTCACTCTTGCAACGAAACACAATGGGAGTTAAGCAGCTGGAAAGAGGAAGAAATTCTGCATCGGACTCATTTTGAAGTGTTTGTTTATCTTCATTCTAGCGTGCTTGCCGATGGATTGAAAAAACTGACAAAAGTTTTGCACCAACCTAATATTTTCCAGAGACACACTACTGTGCAGAGGTATCAGATAATACGTTGATCGCAGAAAAATTGAAGGGAATCAGCAGTAAGTGTTTAGGATTTTTGACAAGCAGTTCACAGTATTTGAAATTTAGTAAATTTCAGAGCTCCCTATAGTGGGCAAAATATCGAGTAAATTTTCCTCTTTTGGTTCACCAATGCACGGAAAAGCATTGATATCAGCAAATCAAAACTTATCTGATCTTCTCATCAAGGTTTTGTGATCTTTCACAAATTTCATCAGAGGAAGACAAAGACAATTCTGGTCAAATCCGATTTCCGCTAAACAGAAAATGGTAAAAAGATTAATTTATTTTGACATTGGTCCTTGTTCATACTTGGGTTATTAAACCTGGGGATCGCGGAATACAAATTTATGGCTTAGAAAGGTTCGTGCAACTCAATGAATGTACTTTTGTAACCCTTTATAGCTAATTAACCATGCAGTATGTGCTAAAAGATCAGGTATGCTAAATGCTAATACTAATTCACAGCTTATCCTCGATCTTGCGTGGTTATCGCGGTCATCTGGCGTATAACACCAAAAACTATTGTTATCCGTTCGAAGTGACAGAATCACCTTAATCGTGCGGTAGATGAGCTCCGATTTCGTACCATTTAGTCTTGACCCAGAAAATCGATATAGAACCGAAATACTGCCGGACAATACTTAGCGTCAATGCCCCAAATCATTAACCTTGGTTTGACTGGTATAAAAGACAGGTGTGGTAGCCGTTTTGCATCTCGGCTCCATCATGAGCTTCTTTCCTCAGCTTTTCTTTAGCTTTGACTGATCCCCAAAAACATTATTAAGTATTTTTACAGACTATGGGTAGTAATGCCGTTGTTGGCGGTCTCGCCACATTTTCGGCGGTAGCCACCACCATCTCCTTGATAAGCGTTGTCTACCTCGTCAATGACATCAGCAATTTCTACGATGATGCTTTGCTCGAGCTTGACAGCTTCAAGGTATTTTTACTCATTTAAAAACTCATATAAACTCATCCTTGATTTTTCCAGGACACCGCCAACACTGCCTGGCACAAGATGCAGTCTGCTCCAGAAAGGACGCGTGAAAAAAGGGCAACAGCTTCCACCTGCAACTGTGGCCAGCAGTCCGCCAACTGTCCCAGAGGACCACCAGGTCCAATCGGAAAACCTGGACTCGTCGGAGAAGAAGGAACCGCTGGTGTTCCTGGTAAACGTGGCCGTGACGGTAATACCATTTTGAACCAAGAATACCAAACATGCATCAAATGCCCAATGGGACCACGAGGACCACCGGGTCCTGACGGCGACGAAGGAGAACCGGGACATGATGGAGCCTGTGGCGAGGATGGTAGCAAGCCTCATGATGGTCATATGGGATCAATGGGATTGTATGGAGAGATGGGACCACCCGGGCCACCTGGACCACCAGGAGATCCAGGAGAGCCTGGTGGCCATGTCACTTACAAAAGAGGATCGCCTGGACCACCTGGACCAATGGGACCCATGGGTCCGCCAGGACCATACGGACCAGAGGGTCCAGAAGGACCTCCAGGAGAGCCTGGACCGATGGGACCTATGGGACCACCTGGAAAAGATGGAAAGAAATCAAAGGATGGAACAGATGGAAAACACGGAGAAGATGGTAAACCAGGCAAAAATGGCGAGTACTGCCCGTGCCCGCAGAGATACGCAGCACCAAGGGACAAATCAAGCTATGCTCTACATCGTTCCCTCGCTCATGATGATGACTCAAATAATGAAGAAAACAGTGAGAACTTCAAGAAGGTCAAGAAGGTCGTAAAGAAAAGTGTGGACGAAACGCATGTAGCCAATGACACCGAACTGCTGGAGCCTGCACATCGTCCTACTGTTAACGACATCACTATGCTTGGTGGTAACGATACCGTATCTCTCGGCGGGAACAACGATACTGTTGTGGAGACATCTCAGTAGAGAAAAGGACCCTGAATCAACAATGTTACGTTTTCTTGCCTTAGTTTTGCCTTCAAAGACAATAAAGCTATTGCAGTATCAGTTTTTACAGCATCTTATGTTGACAAAGCTCGCAACCAAAAGTTTAGAAGCACACTAAATTCTTCTACCACCCGCGGCGGGTCACAACAGGACAAATGGAACTAGGTTATAGTTCGTGTCTACATACTAGGGATCAGTAGAGTTTTCAACCCTCTGAGAGTGAGAACATGATTTTGAGTGAATGGTTTTACAGCTTTGTCAAAAAATTTAGAATGTCATTAGGTGAAGACGTTCACCATTTTAACGTAGGACTTCCTTGGCACCGCTTTTGGACCTTTACCATTCCAAAAAAAATCATTTAATCGCTTCAAAACAACGTCTTTCAAGAATCAAAAATGATATTCCATGGGATATTCACTACGCAACTTTACAAATCACCATAGACAATTACACGTATCTCTGGAAACACATTTATGAAAATGAGACGGAGATTGAAAAATACTCTTCAGCCCTAGTTCATTTTAGAAATACGGTATGTATTGCATCCCGCTAGAAAAGCAGGACCAATCACTAGTCGTGCGGCTGAGCTGCAAAGAGCTTTAGTAGCTTGTCGGAAGTTTTTTGAAGTCTGATAGTGCAGAAGTTGACTGGATGGACGAGATAGGAACTGATACGATAAAGAATCAAATATTCGGATACAGTACCATCTGCGGGCATGCGCCGAACGCATTCTACTTCTAGTCGATGAGGCTATAAATGCGTGCAGCGTTTTGCAGTTCTTGCGGGGCCAGCCCGTTACCCGCAGATTACTGTGGTGTAATTTACCGTGCGAAGGGTAAAGGAACGGCTGGCACGGGGGTGGAGGGGGGGGGGGGAGAGGGGACCGGGGATGGAGTTTTGGTCCTACCTGCTCGTAGCGTTACCTTACACCACTTCGCCGCTCGCCCCTGAATTAAATTAGTATGCCAAATTAGAGAGGGTTTGTTCTAGGAACAAACGTTGAAAAAGACACAAATGAAGAACAAGACAGAAAAAAATGCGAGGTTTCTCCAGGGCCCGGCACGAGGTCGGCAAATGACAAGCTGGAAATCGTTTTGGGGCCAAAAAGCAAAGGGGAAATCGTTTTTGCGGGGTCCGGGGCGGAGCCCCGGAAGAAAATTGGTAGTTCATGCTCGCTACTTATCTTGACATGTTATGTGCCTCAACAGGCAAACACTGGAGTTCGCGCGCGTCAAACCGCACCGTCGCTAATTGCCGCACGCGCGACGTCGCCCAAGCGATGCTATTTGTAACAGCATGCATGACTAGTTCTCAATGTATGTGTAACGATATGGCACCAAATTTTGTATGCGAACGGATAGAGGCTAGTGGAAACATAGTATGAAAATTTATGAAAAACTTATGTGAACGGAACGAGTAATTAGCATTTTTTCCGAGAATTTCGCAAAACTGGTAAATGAAGATGTGAATTCAAACGGCTCGTTTGGAACCCGCAGATGAACGATATGGCATGAAACTTGGTAAGTACATGCACACGGACTTGCAGGGCTTAACTGAGGAGTTTCATTGAAAAATTATGTGACTGAAGGTTGTGGCAAACTTTTTTCTGAAAATTTTGCGCTACCAAAGAAATGGAAAAATGGCTCGTTTGCAACGCAGAGATAACGAAATCGCGCGGGATTCGGTGTGTGTATGCGCAGTAGGACTAAGTAACTAAGTATGAAATATTATGAAAAACTTATGTGAATGAAAAGTTTCCTTAACTAATTTCCAAATTAGGTCGGCATTTGCCGACCTAATTCCCACCTGAGGTCGGCAAAACTCTCAGTTCACATAATTTTTTCAAAATTTTTACATAAATCTGTTGTACACCTAAAGTTTACTACATGGTGAAATTTTGGTTCCGAAACTCCTCCTCTTGACCTTGTTAGAGCCCAAAATCGCATCAGCAGCCTAGCTTTTTAAGATGGAAAGCGCGCTCCAGTTAATCGATACGCGCGGGAGCGGCGTCTCTCATTCCTATGACTGCGTTTCTTTGATATTTTCTCATTCCTTAATCATTTTCTTGCTTATTTTTCTTCCAGTTTTCTATCTTGATCCAGCTGAGGAGTAATTTGAGGAATTTGAGCAATTTGGGCGCTTTTGAGCGCTTTTAGGCGAAGTGTGGCCGGTAATCTCGTCGCACAAGCACAAAACGTCATTTTTGGGCTCAAGGGGGTATTCGTAAAATTTATTGGGATCAAAGGGGAATTCGTTTTGGAAAACCTCGTTTGCCCACCTCGTGCCGGGCCCTGGGTTTCTCCCACAATATACATTTGTCGCTTCTTATGAACATTTTACGACAAATGCTTGCTCATTTACAAGACCAAATCAAGTTGGTGCAATCGCACATCTCTTTGAAGCGCATAATACTTAGGCATATTTCTACATTGTGATTTTTCGAACCAAATCACGAGCCAAGTTCCACACTGGAAGAGAGGCAAGTCAGTCCACTCGGAGCGTTTGAAAATAAACATCACGTGACAGATCGTTTCTTCATGGTTGCACTTTTGCTTCTCCTGTTCACAATAGCATCTTTGACTCAACTTCTGCAACTGAGAGGATGTGCATTCAACACCAGTTTTAGCTTCTTGCTACGCGTAAACGAACTAGGGTTCTTCGGTTTTTAACACATTGATGACAAATTGACCCGGTGGGTCATGCAATGACTGACACGTAGGACAATGTGACCCACATGGTGGTCACGTCTCAAATTTTTTTAAATGGTGACAAATACTGGGTAAACTCGTTTTATGAGGTTTTTTAAGCTCTGACCCTAGAGGTACTTTGACGTTTCTTGGCTGCTTCTTGCTTCTTAGAATTTGTGTAGGTATAGTATGGATGTCGAGCGTGATTTTACCTAGAAATTTTTGACACATTTGGTAAGGCATTGTCCCGCAGAGGAAACCACTGAAAATGCGCATTGTCGTCAACGTGTTAACGTGGTGCTATAGTAGTAGAACTCTGTCATCATTTATCGGAAAATAATGGAACTGAATAATATCAGGGTAGAATTTTTGAACGTTTTTCTATTGGAGAGTTTGTTAGTGGCGCCTCATCATAATACGCTTGTAATTCGTTGAAGGAAGCCACCGAACTCCGCTGGAGTTCACCGAAACCGGCGTCGCATCGCGACTACATATCTTGGTTCAGAGAGAACGAGCTCTGATTCCAAAGCAGAGGTGCGATAGGGGGAGCCAAGTCTCCCCCTACCTTCACTTTTGAGCTGATACAGAGTGACCACCTTCACTTTTGCGAAAAATTTTTTGTTGAATATAAAGAAGGAAAATAAGTAAAACAAACGCAAAAGGGATTATTGAAGGCATATACATATGTATTGCAGTTTTAGGAACTCGCCGTCACCCATCGGAAGCGAAGGCCATCACCGCCATGGAGGCATCCACTTTTCCGCCTTTCCACGAAATCGGAGAAGATAGCTTCGGGACGAATTTCGATTTAAAAAGCTATGACCAAACGGTCCTCTTTAGGGCCAACAATTGACCCAACGGCCCTTTTTAGGGCCACAGATACGATGAACACAGCGGCATAAATATTCGAAATAAACGTGTCAATGAAATGGTGTATTTTGAAGTGAAACTCAACGACACTCTACAGATTTTATTGAGTAAATTTAGTTATGTCGTACTGCGAAGAAAGTAGGTCGATCCAGGAAGTATTTGCCGAGAACCAGAATTTTGAATGAAAAAATAACCAGAAATCATGCAAAATTGCCACTGTTATAAACCAAGTGGTTGAAGATGTCAGCAACTGCGACTTCATAGGTTTTAAAGGGTAAGTGTTGCTCTAACAGATAGTGAAAGAATCGGGTCGATTTGAGCAGTGGTCGCTGAGAACGAGAATTTTGAAAAATTAGGCGATTTTAGGCTAATTTTTGACCGCTGACATTTGAACTCCTAAAACTCTTGATTGTGAAGATGTGTGATGTTGCGACTTTATAGGTTTTCTAGGGTAAGGTTTGCTCTACTAGAATATATCTTACCCGTACCAATTCATCAAAGCACCGCCGAGATCCAGGCTCTTGAAAAAGCAGGTAAAAAACAGCTTTTTGAACTTCAACAGCTCGTAACTTCTCCAGAACTGCATGAATCATGTTGCGACTTCATAGGTTAGATTCCTCTCATCAAGAGCTTTCAGATGATATATAATATGTGGGGGTTTCGCGCCTTTCACGGCATATGCCCGGGGGGAGACTTTTTAGGCCAAAGTCTCCCCTGGCGGCCTCTAGCCAATACATTAAAATGGGCGAGGGGGAGACTTTGGCCTAAAAAGTCTCCCCCCCGGACATACGTCGAAGAAGGCCCCAAACCCCCATATATCATATATCATCTGAAAGCCCTTGATGAGAGGAATCTAACGTATGAAGTCGCAACATTATTCATGCAGTTTTGAAGAAGTTACGAGCTGTTGAAGTTCAAAAAGCTGTTTTTTACCTGCTTTTTCAAGAGCTTGGATCTCGGCGGTGCTTTGATGAATTGGTACGGGTAAGATATATTCTAGTAGGGCAAACCTTACCCTAGAAAACCTATGAAGTCGCAACATCACACATCTTCACAATCAAGAGTTTTAAGAGTTCAAATGTCAGCAGTCAAAAATTAGCCTAAAATCGCCTAATTTTTCAAAATTCTCGTTCTCAGCGACCACTGCTCAAATCGACCCGATTCTTTCACTATCTGTTAGAGCAACACTTACCCTTTAAAACCTATGAAGTCGCAGTTGCTGACATCTTCAACCACTTGGTTTATAACAGTGGCAATTTTGCATGATTTCTGTTTATTTTTTCATTCAAAATTCTGGTTCTCGGCAAATACTTCCTGGATCGACCTACTTTCTTCGCAGTACGACATAACTAAATTTACTTAATAAAATCTGTAGAGTGTCGTTGAGTTTCACTTCAAAATACACCATTTCATTGACACGTTTGTTTCGAATATTTATGCCGCTGTGTTCATCGTATTTGTGGCCCTAAAGAGGGCCGTTGGGTCGCAGTTATTGGCCCTAAAGAGGACCGTTGGGTTAGAGCTCTTCAGTTGTCCGAAGTCATCATGAAGCTTTGCTCTATCGTAGAAAGTGCTGAGGCGTATATGCGTCCATGCCGGTGATGACCTCCAGTTCTCGCAGAAGGCGACGGCGATTTCCTAAAAATAAACTACATAGAATATGCTCTCAATACTTTCTTTTGCGTTCGTTTTGCTTAATTTCCTTTTTTTCAGTTTCAGCAAAAAAAATCAATACCCAAAAGTCCGAAAAAAACCCAAAAAACCCAGTTCAAAGTCCGTCCTGTGCCCCTCCCCTCTCTACCCCCACCACCGGTCAACGTTTTTGAGAGGTGAGTGTCCGGCACTACCACCTTCATTTTTGCTGCCCTGTGGTAGCTGCGACCCCCCCCCCCCCCCGGTCGACATTTTTGGGAGGTGAGTGTCCGGCACTACCACCTTCACTTTTGGCAGCCAGTGGTAGCAGGGACCACCTTCACTTTTGGGGGACCCGGCTCCCCCTATCGCACCTCTGTTCCAAAGGCACCGTTCAACTCAGATTGGTGGAAGGCATCTTCTGATATATAAAAGTGCCGGTTTGGATACGGCTGCCAGATTTCAAATTTTTGCGTACTGTAGGTTACTCTGCGTGCAATGAATAAACAATCGAGAAACCAACCGTATGCGAAAATTTCAAAAGATGCAAAATCTAACCGCCTACTGTGCATCTACTGTATCGTAATGAGCATTTCTAACGGTCTAACAAAGCCCTGCTAACAGAGTAGAAAGGCTTGCGTTTTCAGCTGGATGTTAATCCACCATACTCGCACACGAAGGATGTACGATAGCCTGCAAATTGAGAAATTAGAGACAGAAAAGTTTGGAATGGCACTCAAAACGGTCTTAATTTTTGAAACCTCGCAATGATTTGCAAGGAATGCTTCAGTAATTTTGGTAGGAGAAACTAGTTGTAGTTTTCTTACCCGTTCCGCCGGGAGACAGGGTAGAGCAAAGTCAGTTGGATTTGACAGAGGAAAAAGGTAAGCCGGGTTAAGATTTCTTCGAGAGAAAGGCGGTTTAAGTGATGATTTTGCGTTAAAAGATTTTAACAATATATAGATGAATTTATCTTACAGTTTGAAAACGCTATCAGATCGCAGCTTCAAAAATGTTTTTTTGGAAAAAAAAATCTATCCGTAGGGAGCGCAGCCGTCCCTCGTCTGATGGAAATCTTATCCTCGTTCCTTTCTTCCTAGCCTTGTCTTCCAATTTCCTCTCACCTTTTTAAAAAAAGCACTGATTGTCATGTCATGATTGGAGGCTAGGTTTAGGTCTTCACCTTTACCACATTTTCAAAGTTTTCTGATTTATTTGAGGCTACAAAAGTACTAAAATATCAATTCAACCCGTAATTTATTCTGATGACCGTGTTATTTGTGTTGCAGTAGATGTAACACAATAAAAGCCGCAACATACGAGCCACTCGATCTGATATACTGTAAATGCTAACGCTTTTCTTTTCACGGCTGCTAATCGTTGATCTTACGAGCTTATCTCGGTCATCTAGCGCATAACACGAAACAATCTCAGCGTTGACCAACACTTTCACTATACATAAGATATTCTTCGATTTGGTTACCTGTAGCTAACTCTAAGATTGCGATGAATATCGAAATACTCGTGGGTAGAGATTCAAGACTGTGTCCCAGTTTATCAACCTTGGCTCTGGTATAAAAGGCACTCACAGAAGACAGCAGGCATTCAGCTCGCAGCAAGCATTTTTATTCTCTTCTCTTGCTTTAGTTTGTTCTGGAACACTGCATAACCTATTCAGACCAATGGGGACGAATACTGTAGTTGGCGGTCTTGCCACGATCTCGGCCATCGCTACTGCTTTCTCTGTGCTTAGCGTTGTCTACCTTGTCAACGATATCAGCAACTTTTATGAGGATGCTCTCCTAGAACTCGAAAACTTTAAGGTAAATCGCAGTTTTTTCACCAAGGAGAGTTTTGCAGTAAATGATTTTTTTTCATTCTTAGGACACCGCCAACACTGCCTGGCACAAGATGGAGTCAGCCCCAGAAATGGCCCGTGATAAGAGGGCCACCCCATCGTCGTGCAACTGTGGCCCACAGCCAAATAACTGCCCCGCAGGTCCGCCAGGCCCAGTCGGTAAACCTGGACTCGCAGGAGAAGATGGAACACCTGGTGTTCCGGGTAAACGTGGCCGTGATGGTAATCTCATAGGGAACCAAGAATACCAAACATGTATTAAATGTCCCATGGGACCACGAGGACCACCAGGTCCCGATGGTGATGAAGGAGATCCGGGACCAGATGGAAGACCTGGAGAAGACGGTGCCAAGCCTCACGATGGACATATGGGATCGATGGGTGTATACGGAGATATGGGACCACCCGGACCACCTGGACCACCAGGAGATCCAGGAGAGCCTGGTGGCCATGTTACTTACAAAAGAGGATCGCCTGGGCCACCAGGTCCAATGGGACCCATGGGTCCACCAGGGCCTGTGGGACCAGAGGGTCCAGAAGGGGCTCCAGGAGAGCCTGGACCGATGGGACCTATGGGACCACCTGGAAAGCCTGGAAGGAAAGCAAAGGATGGAGATCATGGAAAGCATGGAGAGGATGGTAAACCAGGTAAAAATGGCGAGTACTGTCCATGCCCGAAAAGGTACCAAGTTCCGAAGAACAATCCAAGCTATGCGCTGCATCGTTCACCTCCTACCGACGAGGAACTTAGTAAAGAGGAGAAGAAAGAAAGGAATGATAGCGATGGCCTTGCTGATGAAGAAAGCGCCGGCGAGAATTTCAAGAAGGCTGTCAAGAAAGTCGTCAAGAAGAGAGCAGACGAGACCCATGAGGCCGAAAATGATACCGCTGTGGGGCCCCATCATCGTACAGGTGTTAATGACATCACCCAGCTTGGTGGCAATGATACCGTATCGCTTGGCTGGAACGATACTGTAGCGGAGACATCGATGTAGATGAAGAAAGTCTGAAACAACCTTTTTATTAACGTAAACTCTTTTCAAATAAAGAATTTGCATTCAAGAATTCATATAAGCCGAAAACAATACTAAAACATTAACACGCTCCTAAATAGGTTTTCTTTTTGCATCTATGAACAGTGTAGACATCATTTCTAGTTTCAAAAAATTTAGTAGTGAGCAGATCTCGTCGAAAGAAATTGTTTGTCCACATAGGTCATGACTCACAAACATTAAGCATGCTTATCCATCAAGAAGTGCCAGAGCTGTGAGGCTTACAAAACCCATAACATCGTAGAGTTACTTACAATTAAATTTTGAACACTTTTCCGGCTTATCATAGCCGATGTTTACTCTTCTGGAGTTCTTCTTCTTCAGTCTTCAAAGCAGATAATTTGTTTTTTTTTTCAAAGTTGTCCATTCCGCGCACTCCTGCATGAGTACTGAATATGATTGAACAAAGTTCAAAGTTAACAGCTAAACCGAGAATATGAAGGCATGTTCGAAAGTGCGCATTCTCACGATCTGGCAAATTGGGACCCATTTTCAAAGCGTGTGCAAAATGCATAATGCGCATACAATGAACACAAAATCGTTGCGATGGTCAGACTTATACACTTACAACAAACATATATTTTGAAGTGCGTATGATCCTGAGCGGAAAAACGATCCCCGGCATCCAATTTGAACTGAGGCACTTTAGAAAAGCGCTCAATTTTGCATTCGATGCTACCCACAATATACAAATGATTATCGGAACGACTCGGCTTTCTTGATGAAACACACAGTCAGAAAGCCGCGTAAATTTTCAGTTGAAGGATGCACCCGAACTTCGAATAAGTGCAGTTGGGATCGACATCTACTGAAGCTTTATTCGTGACTCGTGACTGACCCTCTCTGCACATCGAATAGTGTGAAGCTTTTTCAATTGCAATAACCTTACCAATTGTTGGAGGATTTTGCCCGGCATATGCCATCAAAACGATGGACTTAAGAAGCTAGAAATCTCAAAATCCTCATATTTTATCTGCAGCTTTATAGTTTTTGTCATCAGAAGTCCAGGTTTTTCTGTCATGTGTTAAAATAAACCAAGATCAATTCAGACTTGTAAACAAGATTTCGTTACAAAATTTATTCGATCTAAGTTGCAGGTACACTTAAGCCTTCTTAGCAACCTTTCTGCGGACGACACGTTTTTTGACGACACGAAGTACCTTCCTGTACTGGGCACCGCCACCTCCATTATCACCACCAGCGTTGTAACTACCACTGGCTGCACGGTTTGCATCGTATCTTCCGCCGCTGCCGCCGCCAGCACCGCCTCCGCTGCCTCCACCAATGGCTCCTCCCATGCCTCCATCGCTGCCTCCTCCGATGGCTCCGCTTCCACCGCTGCTTCCCGCACCGCCTGCTCCACCACTGTTGCCTGCACCGCTACCTCCTCCCATGCCGCCATCAAAACCTCCAGCGCTGCCTCCTGCGCCACCGACACCGCTGCCTCCTGCGCCACCGGCACCGCTGCCTCCTGCGCCATCGGCACCGCTGCCTCCAGCACCTCCTCCATATCCGTTCCTAGGTGGACATGGGCAGTATGCCGCATCTCCTCCAGGTCCACCGTCATTTCCGGGTGCTCCAGTCTGTCCATCACTACCAGGGGTTCCTGGATTTCCTGGTGGTCCTGGTGGTCCAGGTGGTCCGGGGGTGGCTGGTCCACCACCATAGCCGTCTTGTCCAGGTTGTCCGTCAGATCCGGGTGGGCCAGGTGGTCCAGGAGGTCCTGGCTGTCCATTTCCAGAAGTTCCTGGTGCTCCAGGTGCTCCATCTTGTCCAGGCTGTCCTGGTGCTCCAGCATTACCAGCATCTCCAGGTGGTCCTGGTGGTCCAGGCGCACCAGGACCGGAACCGCCAGCGTCTGCTCCGGGATTTCCATCGGGTCCAGCTGATCCAGGTGGTCCGTCGGGTCCAGGGGGTCCAGGTGGGCCGACGGGACAAGTGACGCATCCGCCACCATTTCCGTTACCACCTGAGCCTCCGGCATTTCCTGGTCTGCCAGGCGCTCCAGCATCTCCAGCGTCTCCAGGAAGGCCAGGAGCTCCTGGTGGTCCGGGTGGTCCTGGTGGGCAGCTGCTAGGTTGTGGACCACAATTGCATGATCCTCCTCCACCTCCACCGCCTCCACCACCTCCACCACCTCCACCGTTTCCGCCTCCTCCAGTAGAATAGGCTTGGCGTCTTTTCACGAACACAGAGCGGGTATCACGGATCACTTCTGGAGCAGTTCTCATCTCATGCCAAGCGGAATTGGCGACGTCCTCAAAACAAAACATTTGGAATATTATCACATTGTAATTCCTAGAACCCTACCTTGAAAGTGTCGAGCTCCATAAGAGATTCATCATAGAAGCTGTTGATGTCGCTGATGATATAGGCGACACTTACAAGAGCTACGACAGTAGTGACCGCAGTTATGGAAGCTACTCCGGTTACGAATGAGGTCATGCCCATTCCTAGAAGGGAAATAGTAAATCAAAGGAATAATTTGACAAAATCGCAAAGCAGGCAAAAGAACAAGATGTGTCTTACCGAATTGGATGACAGCAAGAACCGTGCTTGCAACATTCTCTGAATGCTTATTTATACGTAAAGCTTCAATGTCATTCGGATCGCTTAGCGGGCGCTAATTTCGATTTTAGCGTTACCTAACAGTTTCCGATAATCTTAGTGGAACTGAAAACTACGTTCTTTCTTTTGACGTTCACATAATCGGCCTTGACGATGCTCGGCTTATTGTTGCAGAAAACTTAAACTGGCCTATTAGGGCATCATGTGGTACTTTCACTATTAATGAACAACTGTGCGTTATCAGTGTTGAAGTATATCTGTGGGCCAAAATTATTACTGAACCCCTGACTCATATTCCATGAGACAAAAAAACAAACAAATTATAATGTAATTGCAGTCGTTAAATTAATTAAAAGAAGAGCAATCTTAAAACTTAAATTTCCTATACAGCGGATGGGGGAGAAGAATCAAGTGTGTGAGGGGGGGGGGAGAGATAAGATGAGAATTTGTTGGGTTGCAAAACTACTTCATATACTCCACTATGTTAATTTTTACAAATGTAGAAACTGGCTCAAAATAGTGTAGTTATGAACTCTTGCCAAAAAATCATTTTCTCTCTCTCTCCCCCTCCCCCCTTTTGCCTGCACTTCTCTTCCTTTCGATTTGTTACCGATGAGCAAAAACTGAATATATGTCGAAGAGTTCATGCTGCATATGAATGCTGAAATCCATGTAAAATAAATCTTAAAGAATAGATGAGTAAATCGATCAATTTACAGTTTGAGACGGATCGATAGAAACATTCGTCGTAGCGATGACATCCACTTCTTTTCCATAGAGGGATAAAAAGTAATCATTCTGAACTATGGTTTGCTCCAGTGGTTGAAAAAGGAGTCCGAAATACGAGTGTTTCAAGTACGTAAACTACAGTTCAAAAACTGTCGTAATCGTTTGGTCTTTGGTGCAATCACACACAAATTCCAGACAATTCGGTAGAGGTGCGCAATTGAAACCCAAACCTGTACTAATCAAAAGATGACTATAATGCTGTATACTGAATTTGGGGGGGGGGAGGTTAAGGAGGCTAGCTACAATCGAGGAAGGCAGTGCAATCGCTGCAGTAGATAGGATTCGAAAGCAGGCATACAAATTCTTTTTTACGAATCCAAAGACAAGACTTGAATGAGTGAAGCAACTTTTTTGGCATCATTCCAAAGTCAACACATTGTTGGCATTATTCCAAGTCATGCTTCCCAAAACTGCAGAACAGGGAATGTTCATTTCAATTTCCACTCGATCTCTGGAAGGCTATCTTAGCCGAGTGTGGGATTTCCACTATGTTCCTACACTATGTTGGTGTATTTCTATTCAACGATGGGTCTTTGTGATTCCAGAATGTTAAATACGACGCTTTTCAGTTTTTGACTATATTCGATCTACTCGTTGCTATAGTTCCGATGCTTATGTCAATATCATTACCATTTTGTTGCAGAAAAAAGAAGAAGAAGGTTTGTAGAAAACTTCTAACTTCTAAACTCTGCAAGACTCGACTTCAAAAGAGGAAAACTTTCTTTCTTCAGTTAGCCATTTGTATTGATGTATGATGTATCAGATCAGCAGATTCAACAATTTATGCACTGAAAAAGGCTAATTATGACTACTTCAAGTAACATGGGAAAAGGGCCGGGCATACTTCACGCGATTTCATTCGCGGCACGATTTGGCAGTTCGCCAGAAGTTTTCAGATCCGACACTAGCAAACTGCACATGCACCGTGTCCATAACTTACGTGGATTGATAAAATGCCCTATCTTCTATACATTAAAAATGTGCTTACAGTGAGTTATGGACAGCTGCAATATTGCCAAATCGCGTCACGACTGAAATCGCGTGAAGTATGCCCTGCCCTAAAAGGTTGATAGATTCAGATATGACCATTCCTCCGTCGTTTCAATGTTCTTCTTTATCGCAGGTGGTAGAAGGGCCCTTTCATTTTCATAATATGAACAAGCAAGCGGTCGGAAGTCTTTGACTAGCTGTGGGGGCCTGTCGGCAAAATGGATTACGGTAGCCACCCTCGTCCTCACTCAACAATGCCTTAATTTTGGATACTGTAGAACGGACCAAGTGCTACCACTAAATTCTATATTTTCACTTACTTTTGGAACCACTGAATGCGCCTCCCAATTTGCATTACAAACCCGTTTTTCAAATTTTTCAAAGCCATCTCCAGGCAAACTTATGAATATTTGTTCCTAAGGGATACCCTTGCCAAGTTTTCTTAGATCCTTGCCAAAATATTCTCCACAGCGCTCGCGCTCTTAATTATCTCCTGATACAGGCGACAGCCCTTTAGTTCCTCCTGCACCACCCCCGTTTGTTCCTGCCATATAATACGGCAGGGGAACACACGAAAAAGTGGGCTCCAACAATCCATCTCTATCAAAAGATGTTGATGGAGATTCTACGAAGGTTTTGTAGTAGAAAGTCCATTAACTAAGTATTTATAGCTCTTGGGTTAGTCTTATGCGAGATATTGAAGTCATCAATGTTGTTGTCCGGCACTCCATCTCAATCCCTATTAGTTTCAATAAGCCGATTACTAAAGTGCGATTTATTATCATACGAGCACCCCATATTTATGGATTTGGGGAATTTTTGGGTTTCCTTCAGAAAGTCCCACAACTCCAAAGAAATGGGTGTTCTTGGAATTACAAACTGCACTTTATCCTCAGTGGTATTACATTCTGGCCCCGCTATTACCCCAAAGAAATTGTACTTGTTTTCACATATTTGAAGATTGTGAAACATTCCCTCATTTTCTTGGCTTTCCTTTGGCCTTTTTGTACGATATTGGCAATTCACAAATTCAAAGAAAAATTCCGCCACCTTCTTCCTTGTCAGGCGGCACCGCTCAGTTTCAAGCGATTTCTCTATGTAATGATCGCGTCACAGTTTTCTGACACCAAAACCGCATATGTGATTTTCGTGACGAAGCGAACGTTGATTGCATCTCGCGTAATCTAAGCACGAAAGCGAAAGCCCGAGGTGGTGTTTCACTGTCATAATCCTTTTGAATTTGTTAAAAGTCCTTTAAAGAATCAGCAACTGGCTCTTTGCCATGCAACATCCTTCTAAGTCTTTCTATCTTTTCAGGAACAATATCCATCGGCTTTTATGGAGGTAGGTTGTGGTCTCTCAAGTTACTCTGCAATCTCAATTTCGCGTTGCTTCTAGGGTTATAAAGAAGAAGGAGAATCTAGAGAACCAGGTCAATCAAGAGATGGACCTTTTGGCACTAATGAAGCGCGGGTACGTCATTCACTTTCAAATTGTTTCCAGAAAGATTTCACAAGCATAACTGGAGTTCTCACTGAGGAGATTGATAGAGGAATCAAGACTAGGCTTGTGCCCAAGAGTCAGCTCATATGGTCCATTCGTGTTCGAGAGAACCAATTTTAGTTTCCCGCCCAGACCGTGCTCTTGCGAGCGCATCGATTCTCGAGTACAGTAGAAGGTACGGTCTGGGTTAAAACTCAAAGTTTAATTGCTCGCCTACGAACAAACCATATAAGCTACGACTTGTGCAATGGCTTAGTTAAAGCCTCCCAATCACTTTCCTCATAAATATGATACCCCCACTTGCCCTTACAATTCTATGCGCGACAAAGCTGAATAAAAGGTTTTTAGCAGCCGGCAAAGTTAAATATACGGCCACCAAAAGAGAATAAAGTTGTGGGAACATATGATCCTAATTACCAAACACTCGCTGGACTTGATAATGCAAACGTTTTTCAGGAAAAGAAGGTAGCAAAATTTTGGAGAACTTTCGGTGCGTTCTGGCTAATTCTCTTTTACGGTCAGGGTGGCGGCATGGGAGGAGGTGCAGGTGGCTTTGGTGGAGGTGGAGCATTTGGTGGAGGAGGAGGTGGTGGAGGATTTGGTGGAGGAGGAGATGGTGGAGGATTTGGTGGACCAGGTGGTGGCGGAGGATTTGGTGGAGGAGGCGGCGTTGGTGGAGGACAACAAATTCGTGCACCAGAGCCTGGCGGTAAGAAAATGGCTGGAACATATGATCCCAACTATCAGACACTCGCTGGTTTGAACAATGACGATGTTTTCAAGAAAAAGGTAAGAGAAATTTTTCCTTAGGTTTCAGATTCAACTTCAAATAAAGAATTTCAGGATGGAGGCTTTGGCGGTGGAGGTGCTGGTGGCGGCTTTGGTGGAGGTGGTATTGGAGGAGGTGGTGGAGGAATTGGTGGAAGAGGAGGAGGTGGTGGAGGATTTGGTGGAGGAGGCGGCGGTGGTGGAGGACAACAAATTCGTGCACCAGAGCCTGGTGGTAAGAAAATGGCTGGCACATTTGATCCGAACTATCAAACCCTTGCTGGCTTGAATAATGAGGACGTCTTCAAGAAGAAGGTACGAGCCCAGATAGGACCAAATTAGTGCAAATTTCTTGATGGATTTTTCAGGACGGTGGTGGCGGTGGCGGCGGAGGCTTCGGAGGAGGCGGTGGAGGTGGTGGCGGATTTGGCGGAGGCGGTGGAGGATTTCAGCAAGATTTCGCCACTTACTGATTTCAGAATAATAATTATTGAAGCAATAATTAGATCATACCAGGTTCTTGCCATGTTACTCGTCACTGATAAACTTTTTGTCAATTGCTCCAATTTTTAAAGAACAATATACACTGTTAAATGAAAAAACAACAAACCACAGCCGAATTTTAAAAATTGGACTAAAGTATAAAGAAAAAAGTTAACTTTATATAAATAAAATTCATCTCAGCAATTGACAGTATTTACACAATAAAACAACTCGTAACAATAATCTTAAAGCATTGTACTTGGCTCTTCTGGATCTACCCATGGCCATCCACGCTGTTCACCTAGAAACTGATATTTTTACAAATTTGTTGGTTCCTCCTATCAAAAAAATGCTGGTCCAGGAGTTTCAAAAACAATGTCGTCTATTACCGTTTTCATAAGGCACAGGAGCTGGCCCATTAGCAGAATTTCTGAAACGGATACAGCTAAATAAATTTTTCCGCAATGCTTTTGCGTACCTCTTGTCCGGTATCAATGGAGCTTTGTCTTTTTCTGGCAATGGAGATGGCATTATGCCACTAGCAAAACACCAATCTGAAAGTTAGAAGTTATGTTTCGGTGTAGAGATGCCATTAGGCAGACTTCTGGCAGTTTTTCAGCTTCGATTCTCTCTCATTTGTGGACCTTCTGGGGGAGGGGAGGGGGGAGGAGGGGCGAAAAGGCGACTGAGTCTTGAACTGCGTTTAAAAGCTTTCAAAATGTCGAAACATAAGTTCATAAAAAAAACTGCTAAATAAAAAGGATGTGCCATCCCCTCTTACCTCCCGCCCACTTAAGTGTGATTGGCTGATGATGTCGAGTGACCAAACCACTCAGGCGCCCGATGTCGGAATCCGCCAACCAATCACCTCTCTGGTGTCTCCGCCTATCCAGTTGGTGATTGGTTCATAGATTCCAGTAGCGCCGCATAGACATACATTAAGACATAGATTCAATAAAGGATGTATTTTGACAAATAGAGTTTTCAAGAAACAGTTTTGCCATTCACTTCCCAGAAGGCCAGGATGAGGGAAATAAAAGTCGAAGTTCCGCCCGGACTAGGCCTCCAGAAATTCTACAATTTTACCTTGTTGTAAAAATTGAGTGTCGCCTAGTTCACGTAATTTTTCGAGCAAGTCCCATAATTGTGTGCTTTTCTGGAAAAACATTACGTAAAATTTTCTAGTAAAGAACTTTTTTTGTGATTTTGAAGGCTTTAGTCTTCAGTGAAAATCGATAAAATGGTTTTGGAAAATCAAAAAAAAATTCTTATTGATGCGATGCAGATGATGTTGTGTTCTCCGTATTACAGCGAGGCAATCATCAACGTAATTGAAAAAAGTGAATGTGAGAAGAATTTATACCGACGTTAAACCGCTCCGCAGCCGCTTCGCAGTGCATTCTTTGCGTCATGGAGCGACTATACGCTTACATACCTGATGTACATATCGCCGCCGTAGTTGATTTTCGGCTTCTGCCTTTGCCAATAAATCTTTGTAGTTGTCCGTTCTAAAGATATCATTTTGAGCTAATCAATCGATAAATGCAAGCACTCCAAGGAGTCTACAAAAACCTGCAGTGATCTATGTCGAAGGCGCAATATCTTTGGACGCGAACGCGGCTCTATTAACCGCAGAGCGCATGGATTCTGGATTTACAACGGTGAAGATACGCGCGCGCCGCTTTCGCGCCCGCTCAACTAATACTGCTTCTGCGCCTTCGTCCTGCGGTAGCCTTTATGTATCTGAACTTACATGCTCTGATTAGTCGTTGTTCGGAGACTTTCTTTGGCCACAACGGATTTCATCATTCCACGCCGATATGCTCGTGGATTACTTCCAGCTGGGTTTCGTACTAGTTCAATAATCTAGAGATAGATTTTCTTTGTTAGAAAAATTGATTGAAGTAGAAAGTTTTACCTTAGGTACGAAAACCAAGCACAGAGTGAGAGTTGTTGAAAATATAATGAAAAAGCATGCGAGAGCGAAAGCTTCATTGACGCGTTCCTGCAAGAATTCTTGATAATTTTTTTGACAATCTTGGGGACAAAATGAGTATTTTATGGGGGCAAGGGCTTTTAACGCGAACGTATTTTCGGCCAATCCGGCCTGCCGCTACGCATCGCGCACGAGCGCAATCCTGGATAGAAGTACGCGCCGCATTGCGCTCGCGCATAGCGGCTTACACTTGACCTTGATGTCCTAACCTGTAAAATAACGCTAATTGATAATCCAAGAGTGCTCATCACCACAACGTTGTACACACTCATTCCTATGTATTTACTGTCATTCAGTGCTGGAACATTAACATGCCTCGTCTCCCAGGCAAGAAAGCAGCCGAGAATCTGAAATTTTACAAAATAAATCCATTTCTTCTTGCTAGGTAGAGATTTGCTGCTAACACACCATAAGTACTCCTTTAACAGCATATAGTATTGCTTGAAATACAGCAGAATATTTGGAATGACATTTTTCGATTTCAGGTACTATCACTCTGTCGTCGATATGCTGGAAAATTTCTTTTACTATAGTTTTTTTTATCAGTGAACTTCTGAGACTCACTATCTGTTGCAGTTCCATGACAGACATACGGAATGGGGAGACTAATGCCCAAAGTGTTAACACCAGCACATCCACAAAGAGAAGCCCGGCAAGGATCAGAAGCAACTTGGAATCCTAGAAATCACAAATATTGCCAGAAGTAAGCAAGATATGGAATCTATCTGTATGAAAAAAGTTGAAACCAATTAACTGTGTATGCATATGGGAAACAATAAAGCTAAAATACTAGGGGATTTGTAAGCCTGTTTCATTATAACTATTCATGGAAGCACTTCCATGGATAGTTATAAAGAAATAGGCTTGCCCCTTTTTCAGTGCGGAGCTTGCTCTTTTTCATGAATCCACAAAATGTTCCTATTGAATGTGAAAGACAACCAATTTGGTTCATTTTGATTTTTTGCTTTTCTCGCTAACTTGGAACTTTGAGATTTCCATCATTAAGCAAAATTTTTTGGAAATCTTTACATCTTGCGTCAGTGTTGCAGTGTTTGCCGAGTTTCAATACCTTGGGACCTATCAAATAACAACGTCTCCTTCGAAGTTGTGAAAAAAGAAGGCAAGAAATAGACGCGCAAGAGGTAAATTGAAAAACTTTGCACTTTGACAAGTATATTTCAACTCAGTGATCGTAATGAAAAACCAAAAGTTCTGTCACTTCAGTCTTGATAAATGCGTAACTGCTCTCATGATTATAGTTGCTTACAGTAAAGTTTATCAAAAAAGAGTTAATCATCTATCAACTACAGTTTCTTGGCTCTTTGGCGACAAGGTCCGAGTTAGAAATTCGAATAGCCACTCTATCTCTCTATAATCTTAATTGAATCGTCAACTCTGCAAATCCAAAATGTTTCCTGGTTGGAAGCACTTACCTTTCGATTTTTTAAATTTTGATTTGGCTTGACTTTTGGTTTAACCTAATTCATACTGAAAAAAGAGTCAAAGTTTGACTCATCTCGATATCCGAATGCAGCTTAGTATGCATTTCTACCAAGAAGAATACTATTATTGCAATGTTTTCTCGTCATTTTCATGACCTATCAGTGATAGTTTGGAAAGATTTGGTACTGGAACGCCTTTTGCATACCTTTATCGCTTTTCGATCCATTCTGATGTTCGTGAAGATCGAATGTACTCTCCATGTTTTCGAAAACATCGACCCGAAAGCAAGCGTGAAACCTAAGCACAGCGTCCACGTTTTCACCTAAATTTTGTTTCTAACTATTCATTCGAATCCCAAATTTTGATGAGATTCTTTATATATTAGATTTTGAACCTTATATTGTAGGAAGTATACTCACATAGCATAATTTGACGAAATTATCACTAGACAGTATTCTCGTATCAATACCAAAAAGCACCACAGAAGCAAAAGTGAACATTGAACCAAAGATAATGAGATTATTCATGTTTGGCGATGACATCTTGATGAACCTAAAAATGGAATCGAACGTAATGCTCCGTAAATCAGGGGTTCACGCACCTGTGATCCCTATATTTTATGTTGAAAAACAAGAAAATTAGCGACACTGAGATTCCAGTCAGTGCTAGGAATGACATAACAATAAATAGCAGATTGGAGATGTATTCGCGCTTTCTTTCGATTACGGTAGCATCCAGTGGCGGGACCCAGCCTGAAAAATAACGCTTATGAATGGTAGGGCATAGACCAGTAGGCTGAGCCTATCGGACATCTGACACAAACATGCATTCCTGCACACTACAGTTAGTATATGTTGTCTGCTTGAGAGGAGGAGACTGCGTGGTTTTGTTTATTCTACTTTACTCACCTCCCAAATCCTCCTTCATGTCGAAAATATCACTTGCACCATCATAATGACCTACATCGTCATATTCACCATTACGCCATTGGCGTATGTCCACAAGTCCGAGTCTTTCATTGTTTTCGAATCGAACACGACCCTGTGAACAATAAGGCGCTATTAGAAACGGCGTGTAAAAAGGTACCGTAAGCCTACCGTAACGCCTTCAAAAGAGCTGTTATTTATGGCTGAAAGTAATTTCGTATGGGAGAATGATGCATCAGCTCCTAAAGCTTGGCTCAAAGCAACAGCCAGGGTCCACAAGCCATCGTAGAGATAACCCTGCCAAATATTTGGCGATTCTCGGCTAAGTTCTGTCCAGATGTATGATGCTCGCTGGAAAAATCATTGGATCAAAATATTTAGATCATCATATATTGATCTACGTGGGATAGAGCACGCTATGTCGCCGAAAGGAGGTCCAGCGCGGACATTTGCAACAAACCATGCACCTTTACACGTTATATTCTCGTACCAGCTATCCGCGCTGGTTATCGTCCTCTACCCCATACATTCTGTATCATTTTTTTACCAACCTTTCCGCCTATAACGTGGGTCTTATTATCCTTCCTGACCAGCGCAAACTCCACAACGAAGTGACCTTCAAAAACTTGCTGCAGTTCCTCGTTAGTGCAATTAGTTGTGTTGACGGTCATCCATCTGAAATGTTGGCTTCTTGCAATTTTTATACGAAGTAGTATAGAATGTCTTCCAGTCTTTCAAAAATTGATGTCGGAGATATACATAAGCATACGATGCATAAGACAAACTGCTTTGCCCATAATATTCGCAAAAAAGCTACATATTCTCCTATTTTCTTAATCCAATGATGGATAAATTTAGAGGAAACTATGCAGCTGTAGAATAACGTCATGTTCTAGGGATTCAAAGCTAAATTTTCATTTTCAGGATATGTATAGTTCATTTGAAAAATCGTGACGATGGACTTTACTGCGGCTTTGCGCCCACAGAAGCGTAAAACGCTCATACGAGAAAGCACCACCTCAGCGTTCAGCTTAGCAACTTCCAGTGTCTGAATATCATCGTACCAAGCAAAAAACCATTTGACTAGAGATGAAAACCAAGAAAACGCGATTTCTGGAAGTGGCGTGCGTGTCGCGCGCGGTCGAGTCATCGCCACGATTTTTTAAATGCCCTATAAATGATTTGATATGAGTATTATATTAGGTTGGTGCAAATGTCTGTTCGCACCATTTTTGAAAAATCATAACTTTTTGCTCTCTCATGAATTACACACCTAGACAGAGAAAACCATTTTCTTTGTAAATGTGCCTTTGCTTTTCTCTAACAAGTGATAGCTTCTGAGATAGAAGAAAAAGAATAAAACCACGTCATCTTCGGTTATTTCATGTTAAGCTATTAAAATTCTGAAACGTGCGAAATTCGGAGCGAGCAGTAGAATAAGCCCTTTGATTCATTCGTTCCAACTGTGCAGAGGTATCAAATAAGCACCTCTGTAAAGAGTTAAAGAGTTATGATTTCTAGTGAATACAAAACAGCAAGTCTAATTTTTTTTAAAAATCGAAACTTTTTACAGAGATGCTAAAAATCTACATAGTTAAGGGTGGAATAAAGCTTGAATCACTGCTTGCTAAGAATTTTATAGAGTTTTAACGGCGCGACTCAAAAACTTCAAATCTGTAGTGGTTTTATTCTCCTGCTTTTCTTTCAAAAGCTCGCTCTTGCCAGAGAGCAGCAAAACCATTTTCATAAACAGTTCTACATCTAGTAGAATCAGTCTTGTGAAATTACTTCGAAAGAACAGGAAGTTATGAGTTTTTACAAATGGTGCGAGCGAACTTTTGCACCAACCTAATATTTCTGTCGTCTGTAGAATGTGATTGTTTGCGTGAAAGGACCCTTAATGGTGGGGTGCCATTTGTTCAGCCACCCATAGTTTATTTTGCAGATTAGAAAAAATAAGGCGAGGTCATTATGAGCTTTTATATGTCTACAAATGCATGAGACGAGTCAGCAGATAGTGTTTTGAGTCTTCTGTTCTATTTTCGGAATATTTACTGCTTGTAGAGAATACAAATTTTATGTGACTCAAAAATTATTGAAAATTGGGTTATCGTTAGCGCGCTTTGCTTTATCGAATGTTTCCCATGATCCTGAATTCCCACTAGCACGTTAGCCTGAGAAACGACTTATTCTCGTGACAACCTTAAATTAAGCTGTACTTAATTACAAGGCTAGGCCACTCACACTGTGGAATGATAACCAGGCAGAATCCACACATAGCTTTCGCCGTACATATGACGATGATACGCTTCGCACAACACGATGGCTGCCATGTCCTCGGCGACGTCAACGACGAGAATTCGAACGTCTCGTTGCTGCAAAAAAAATGCAAAAATTTGATTGATGAAAAAGGAAAGGAATTGCTGTATTGGCTATTCTATATCCCCAAGAAACGTGCAAGAACTGCAAAATATCAAATTACATAGGGGCTCGTGCATGTGTCTAACTTTTTTATTTCTAATGCACTTTCAATATGAATTTTTTTGGTTCGATAGAGTTTGCTTAAGTTGCAAACAAGAATTAATAGGGTGAGTCAGAAGTGATGAGAACATCGCATCTCTTTTTAAACCTACTCTCAAATTAGGTAGAATGTGTATAAGCAAGTGCTCTAAACGGTGTCCGACACTGTTTTTCTTTCTCTTTCCGATAGATATATCAACCAAATCACTTTGTAATTGCTGAAATATTTGCAGAAATCTTGAAGACAAAGCGCTTTCCGTTCAAAATCTATGGTTTTTTCAAATTTTTCAAAAAATTTTAGATTGTGGTAATTTGAAGCGTTAAACGCTTGATTACCTTGCAGAACCTACCTTGATTACCATCAATCAGAAAGGTTTGATGATAAGCTATTTTCGAAGCTCTCAAATTCGAAAGATTTTGTAGGGTTTAAAGCATTTTTGTTTTGAACCATTTTTTGAAAATCTGGGGCTTTTGCAAAAATGAGTTTAAAAGGCCTCAAAATGCTAGTTTCGAAATACCTAAATAGTAATTCGCATCAAGCAGGGCTTGCTTTGTCTTTATGTTATCAAATTTGTTCGAAAACTTCAAGGAAAGCAAAAATGACGGGTTCAAAATTTGGGAAGTTTTTTCGACAACTAAGAAGTCAACTGGGCGATTGGCCCCACTGCTGAGAAGAGAAAGAAAAGCTGCGTTTTATATATTTCAGGGTGCTAATCTATCGCTATTCTACACGAGTTGCGGAAAGTTCGAAATGGGAAACTAAAGTTCTCATTACTTTTGACTCAACCTAATACAACAAGAAAGCTATAAGGGTGCATAAAGTCCATATAGAATTCTTTACTGAGAAAGCCTCAAGAATGGCAAATAACTATTTTGGTTGAATTCTGTTGGTCTTGTTCGGCTAAACCGACGTTACAGCGTACATGCCATACTGAAGAGGATTCCATCTTGGATACATTATAAAATTCGGTCCTAATCGGTTACATTTCGTTTCTGTAGGTTTACCGTAGAAATTCCAAGAGCATGCGAGATCCTTTGATACTTCAGAGATTTGGACCATTCAATCTCTGTGGCAACCATATCACTACTTCATGACAATAACTTTGGGAATGTCAAGGGTTACAAGCAATTAACAAAATAAAGCTTACTGTACATAAGTACCGTTCACTCAAGCACTACATTACATGGAGTTTTGGTGAAAACCTTTAGCTATGCTTTGGCTTTTCAATTCAGTTGCACCATTTGGACACTTAGATGAATACTTTCTCGTTATTGAATTAGTGATAAGCTGCTTTCTGGAAATGTTAATTTTAGAATCAAATCATCGTTTACCAAGCCATTTCGCAGGATCACAAGCAAAGAAACAAGATTATGTTTTTGTGAACGATTATATTATTCAAAACTTTCCTACAGTATCAGTTCTATCATCATAACAGAAAAATGAAAATAGTTGTAGAATCTGGTATGTTCAAGCCATCCCGAAATTTCTTCGCAAACTGCCTCTCCCTGTCAAAGTCCTTTTTTCCCCCTCCATCACTTCGAGCTGCCATAAGTGCGCATATCTTTCAGTTTTGGTGACACTATGCATGTCCGTGGGTGTCGCCGTCGGCGAAGACGAACCCTTAGGGACTTTGGCTTTTCTTGCTTATCTCATTCCCGACAACGCTTGCGACATGCTCCACTCAATTTGCTTTGAGAGCCGAAGCAAAACAGAGCCCCGAGTCATAAATGGACGGAGAAACGGCGAAGAAATTGCGTTTACCTTGAGCTCATTCAATTCGTTGCCGATGTTGTCCATCTCGTGCTTGGTTACACCAGCTGTGTAGAGAACTCTAATGCCATAGCCATGCTCGAGTTTGGTGGTTAGCGATTCGTGGGGCTGAAAAATTGGAAACTGAAAGTTAAGCAAGTCTTCATGAATATGTAGCCTTCTTATGCTCACAGAAAGGAAGGCACGGCGAGGAAGCATTAATCCCCCCCCCCAATCTTCTCCCAAAACATGTCTCCACTTCTAAGGTTTTTACAAGATCAAAAGGGTATGTAGCTATGAGAGAAGTCTCTGCTTTTAAACAGTAAATCTGATTTGGTAGAAGTTTTAGAACGCAAATCAACTTTGTGAGAAAAATTTTTTTGCTAAAAAAACTCAATGGCTTTCCAAGTGTTTTCTCGAAGTCAAAGCTGGCCAGCCTTCTTACCTAAAAAAAAATTCTCTTCCATCCCTTCCCCCCTCCCCCATCCCCTCCCTCCCACCGGCGACCCTTGAAGCCGCCATAAAAAACAGTTTTTTTAGCTCTAAGAAATCATCATTTCAAAGACAGTTCCTATGTACAATGGCGGACCGAGGGGTGGGGGCGGGTTTTTCCCCTTTTTTCCAGATTTTATTGGTTGGGGACCCTCAAAAATTTTGAGAAGCACCCCAAAAAAATTTTCGGAGTGCGCGGCTAACGCCACGCACCTTCATTTGATAAAAATTTTTGTCCTCCCTCCGGTCCGAAACCCTGGGACCGCCACTGCTATGTACATATAGAGAGATCCCGAAAAAATTTTCATAGAGTCTTTCCAGATTTGGAAAGAAGCCCCAACTTTCTCTAGATCTTTCTGTCGTCTTCCCGCCCCCCACCCCCTAGATTTCTGCGAACTTCCTGATAGAAAAACATTTGCTTATATGTACAGAATCAGTGAAACTTTATAAACGACGGACGGAACCAAAGCTTCAATTATTTTACTCATTCCTACAGTTTTAATTTTGCTTTTGAAAGTGATCCGCGAAAATTTTATCGACGTTTTGGCGTTTTTGGCCCACTCCGTAAGTACTCAAATAATAAGTATTAGATAAATAAATAAATCTGCTCTAGCTTGATACTAGCTCGTTCTGCAGTTTCGTCGAATTTAGCTTCTCTCTCCCGCATATAATGAGTAGTCCTCGAATTGAAAGCTTTGCGGCCAATGTTTGCTCGAGAACTCTTCCCTCTTTGCACATTATGAATCGGCAATTAACAATTCATGCACCCGTCGCGAAACTTCCACAAACGAGCAAACCTCACTTTGGCTCAATAAGTTGAAATTCAAAGAACATACCAGAGCATGACGAGGCTCATCACTCTGCTTGAGCGTTCCAACTTTCTTCCAACCAAAGTGATTGATGAGTCGACATCGGGCATTGTTGAGATTACGGTCACCAGGTACGATACGGAAAAATGTAGGGTAGAGCTGGAAAGGACAAGTTCATATAAAATTTGGGCAATGAAGGAAAATCATTTCCTTGAGAGGGAAGAAGAAAGGAGAAGGGAAAAATCATTATATCAGGTCGTTCCGAAAGTTCTTTCCGTTTTTCTAACCTATCATAAAAACACGTGGAATGAAGATAGGGAAACGCTTTAGGCACTATCCGACGCAGCGTTTCTTCCTCTTTCTAGTAGTCATATTCCCATGTCGCTTACTCTTGTGATCACTGAGATAATCGCCGTAATTTTGAACACATGGTTTTTACCATGTCCAAGTTTGGCAATTTTTCACAATCTTCATTTGTAACTTTCGGAGAAGCTTTGATAGCAGTCAAATAGAGTAAACGAATTGCAATGCAATACATTTTTTTGGCAAACCCAGCTGGCTTTTCAGTGTTTCTTGAGATGATTTTGTCAGAAGTCTTCACTTTTGCAAAGTCCCAAAATACAGAAACGCCCCGAACACTGGCAAGTATACGGATTTTGAAGCTTTTTAAAGTCAGTTACGATTATCCACAATTTTTACAAAGCAACTGAGCGCTTACCGCTTGTAAATATAAGGTTTTGCATTTTACGTGTATAGGCTGGGGCGGGTTCAAAATCAAGAATTACGGAAACTTTATAGCCAAAGACCCCGCAAATTAGAAAGGAAATACATTCATTAGAAAGAGAAGGAAAAGCTGCATCGAATGACACCTAGTTGTGCGCCGTCTTATGTTCAATGGCTCTTGGCGTCCCCAAAAGTGGAATTTGATAGCATCAGAAAAATAATTCTAAAAAAAATTTTAAAGCTAGCTATAAACGGCGAAAAATTGCATTAAATTGGACTTTGTTTGCTCTATCTGACTGCTATCAGAGCTTTCATAAAATTCAAAAAAGAAGATTGTGAAAAATTGCCAAATTTGGACATGGTAAAAACCATGGGTGCGAAATTTCGGCCATTATCTCACTGAACACAAGAGCAAGCAGCACAGGAATACGACACTTGAAAAGAGGAAGAAAAGCTGCGTCGAATAGTGCCTGAAGCGTTCCTCTAACTTCATTCCACGTGTTTTTGTGATAAGTTGAAAAAAATGGAAAGAACTTTCGGAACAACCTAATATTATAGCCTTGAACATATGTATGCCCAAGTAAAGTTTTGTAGATTTTATAGGGCAAAGCCTCAAGTAGAAACTCTGTATGTCAACCACGAGTAAAGAAGAAAACCTCCTTATTAAGATTAGTAAAAATAGATTCGCCATACTTGTACTCCCCCGCCCCCCCCCCCCCTTCTTTTCCGCAACCTGTTAGCAGTAACTTCATAAAGTACACAAATAATACTGAATTATGCAAATAAATCATTCCATCATGTAAGGTAGAATGAATTCATGTTCTTCGTATATTTCATCACCATTATGAAAAAGATTCCTAATTGTAGCCTTTCTCATGCTCAAGAAATCTTTTTTCAGAACATGATTCCGTTTTAGAAGATCATAATTACAAACTTGTTGGAAGTGTCCCAAGATTTCTCCAAGAGCGTAATCAGAACTACCTTCCCCCCCCCCTCCCCTTCTCACCAAACCCTGAAATAAATTTTCATGTTCGCTACGCATGAAACTCATAGAGAATGGGTTTTGGAAGATTCTTCAGAAGTAGGACTATTCTTTTTTCTTAAAAAATTTCAAGTTTGATGGAGTTTTGCGTTTGCCTTTATCTTACTGCCTCGATCTTCCAGACGAGTTCAATTCGTTTGTAAAGCTTACCTCGCTCGTACCCTGTCCCCTTTCTCACACACCAATGCTCTCCTTTCAGCAACCTTTCCCCGATAAAACTTCCCACCCTAGCATTCACGGAAAATTCTCAATTATTCATAGACACCGCTTCGTCGACTCCACACCAATGTCACACCTGCATTGCAAATCAGAAGCCGTTTTTAGGTTGCGCGCACTATTAAATGCGAGAAAACCCCTCTATCCCTGGCAGACGCAATTCTTTGCTGGTTTCGCTGTCGAGCAGAAGGAGAGCAGAATGTGAGCTTAGCGCCAGTCTGGCGCTTGATTCACTTAGGCGTTCAATCATGCCGCTTATCTTCTTCACATCAGATGCGGCGGCTGGCAAGCGGCCGGCAGCCGCGCTCGATCAGCCGGCCACCGGACGAGGTATTGCGTTTCACGAAAATGAATTACGTTTGTGGAATGAAAATTATACGAATGTACGCATGCGAAGAAAGACTTTGGTAGACTGACGAGGCCCTAGTAAAGCCCAAAATGATGAAATATGTACCTTTTCAAGTCTCAAAATTTCACACTTTTTACGAACTCTCGTTTTCTCAAAGTGACAAACTGGTACTTTAGAGCAGATTTTTACGTTATTGAGAAGTGGTAGATCAGTCTTCCTTGCTGCTCAACACTGAGTACAACGAGAAAATCTAGGCTTTAAAGCACTAAACTCATCACCTGAGACCATGTCGAAAACAAGGCCTTGTAAAAACTGGAGACTTTAACGAATTATCACTTCAACGAACCAATTCATCTTAAGTTATGATACGGATATTAGGCACAAAATAGGATTTGAAAATTTGGACTGCAAATTCAGAAAAAAATTCAGGTACTGAAGAAGCTGTGGGAGTAAAAGAAATTTAGAGATCTAAACATTCGAATCATGCTGAATTTTAAGTAAGCAATAGGACGTTAATGGTAAACAAAGGATTGTTTTGGCAAAAAACTGTCAAATTTCGTTTTCTCACTTTTCAACCATGGAAAAGCCGCGAAAATGTGCATACCACAAGTGTCTCGTATAGTGAGTCCATGCGTGAGCAAGTTAAGGGTTCCCAGGACTTTTCTGAACGGAGATACGATATTTTTTGTTTTTTTGGACCTTTAGTGCCTTATGAAATTTAGCTTCAAACTTCATGCAAACCAAGCATGGTGCGAAGGTACGAGATTCATTTTGTAGAGCTTGATCTGATCTATACCCACCTACCTACTTTCGTGCGCACCCTGCTGCGATATTGCAAGTTAAAACACGATGCGACATTATTTTCCGGACAATCTAATACAACAAAAATTTTACCTATCTAATTTTGAGATAATATTATCTCTGTAAGGTTCGTACATGCAAAGGTTTGAAGAGTACTTTTTAATTTTTTTTCCAGAAGCGGTTAGTAATAAAGCATACTTGATCAAAGGTTTCATACCTTTTCTTTTTTCTCATACCCATCCGAATTCTCATGCTCTCTCATTAGTAGAAACAGTTTCAGGACAAGAACCTAACAGACTCACTCATCCTTTGATCAAGTATGCTTTATTACTAACCGCTTCTGGAAAAAAAAATTAAAAAGTACTCTTCAAAGCTGAACAAAAAATCCCGACAAATTGTAATACCAAGTTAGCGCCAAGGCCAGCGACAAAAACCTCAACGGTCATTTTTTTTCATTTGAAAATAAAGATACTTACCTCTTGCGAGTCAGCAGTACCAAATTTTGCGTGAGTTTCAGCATAACTTAGCTGGACGATCTGCCAATATTTGAGGGCCATTGCCAGTGGTTCGTTTACCTAGATAAGACATTCCATAGTAGGTAGTACACATGCGAAGTTTAAGAAGAAAGCGTGAGGCTTGTTCTGGTAACTCAAGAAGATTTTCAATGTAAGAATACGAGTTTCTGGGTGAATATAGAAAAAAATGAAATGGTAGCTTAGCGCGTCCTTTAACAATTTTACTATAATACATTTTCTATGCGACAGACATGGTGTGCTACCGAGGGAGACGGTCGAAAGGCGCATATTAACACGTTGACGACAGCGCGCGTTTTTGGTTGTCTGCCTCGTGGGACAATGCCTGTCACGGATAAGTCAAAAATTTTAAGCTAAAATCATGGAGATCGTCAGTTACAGTATACCTACTATAATCTTATGAAGCGGATGAGAAACGCAAAAGTATTTTCTAGGATCGGAGCGTAAGAGAACTTCTGAAACGATTGTAGTCCAAGATAGCAGTCATTTCAACAAAATTCAAGCTGTGACCTACCATGTGGGTCACATTGTCCCACGTGGCAGTCATTGCATGACCCACCATGTGGGTCACGTTGTCGTCAATGTGTTAATCGATTGTGACAAAATAAGAGAACCGGAAACGTATTTCAAATCTAGCGTTTTTTCCGAATTTTGACATGATTTATAGCTTGCTTGAAACCGGAAATAATAGTAAATCACTAACCTCTGTACACATTCCTCCCAATAACGCTACAGGCCGTGGACGAGATGCGATAAAGTCGAACAAGGCTTTCATACCCAGTGATGTCTTACACTAAAGTGAAACGATTTGCAGATTTTTTAAGAATTTTCAGAAAATTTTGATTTGTTTTTTTTTAAATACATGAAATTAGAACTTATCTTATGGAGTTTTTATTTACTTGCTAATAGATTATGCACTCACTGATTTCCATAGATCAAATACATGTTATATGTTTTTTACATCAAAATATCTTTAAGCGTATGAAAATAAATAACTAAATACATAAATTTAGATAATCAAATCATAATATTTAAAATCAATCGGACACAAAGGCCGACAATTTTATTTTGATACGATAATGAAGCTACAGGTTAAGAAACTGTAGGTGATTCATCGCACGCAAAGAATGTTGCGTTGCGTTTGATGAGAAGAAAATGATTGATTTAGAAAGAAAAGAAATTGATTTAGTATGTATTAAAGAGAGACAGCAGACAGTTAAAGTAATGAGAGAGTATGCGAGATGAGAGCGCCGACAGCATTTGCGGTGAAGTTCTGTTTCTGCATGTGTTGAAATGGCTATGAATCTTACAATAAACAAAAGATAAGAAAAGTCTTGAAACATTGAACTCAGTTTAACAAAAATATGCGATATATTATTTTTACGATGTTTTTTTTTGCTTCAGTTCTGTGCTGCCCTAATCATAACGCACTATAGTCGTGTTTATGCATATTTGATTGCACTTCTTCAAAGAATAAATGACTTTAGCCCTAATCCAATTGTTGCAACTCCCATTCTTCCTACCCTGCTTCATTCCACTTCTTCTGCTAGTTCTCGACAACATAGCTCAGTATCCATACACGTCACTAATCTACTGGGGCCATTGAACGCCAGTCGTTACATGTAACGACAATGTTGTCTCATGAAAAATGATGTAAAGTTTTATTGCCTTCTATATCGACTAACTCCAGTAGCTCCATGCAAAAGCAGTTCGAGTCTCAGAATGGAGATTGTCATGCTCATGGGTGTAAAGGAAGTGAGTAAGGAACGAAAGTCAGAGTTTCAGAGAAAAATAATAACTTTTCAGTGACGAAAAATAGTAAGAAATATTAGGTTGTCCCATAAGTCTTTTCATACCTGACTTTTCAACGATTTAAATCAGTTCTTCTTGAACTCCTGATAAATTGCAGGGTACCATTCGATAGATCAAAGTAAGCTCTACAAGATGGCATTCAAAAGTTCGCACCAAGTCCAATCCGCAACATGCTCCAAACCAAAATAAAAAATTTTCCCGAATTTGCGAAAAAACGAAAATCATCATATCTCAGTTCAAAACAGCTCTGCAAATTTCCTATTTTTTCATGCATATACTCTCCTCATCGGATATTTATAAATGCACTTGCTGCATTTTTCTGATGGTTAGAAACCAAGAAAAAAATAATGCGCTCAATTTTCAAACTTTGCCTGTATCACTTCTTTCCCCGCAAGTAGGTGATTATATAGCTTATTCGCTCAGAATTACTGCCAAAAATTTGCAGCCTACTAGGTGCTGTAGTTCCTGAGAAAAATCGAATTGAAGGTCCGAATATGAAAAAATTTATGGGACAACCTAGTAGAAAGAAATATTTCCACTTTAAATTTATAACCTTTGACAAGCAGTTTATACACACCTATAACATACCCAGCAACTGAACAGTGCATGTGCTGCACCAAATATACTCTAATTTTTGGAAAATTAACGAAGAACAAACAACAGAAAAACCCTTATTTAATTAAGGTCTCTAAGCTTTCTCCAAGCCTTCACAGCATTAGTTCCTCAGATGCAAAAAATCGATATTTTTCGGTCTTGTCATCCACCAAAGTTATACAAATTCAATCTCCTGTTCTAATAGACCGTCCGATCCGACACCTTTTCCAGAGGAAAAAATTATGTGCTTAGTAAACTTAAAGAAAAATTATGGTCCCCTTACCGCGGTGATACAGACTGACAAGAAAATTATTTACTGGGATCTCCAAAATTAACTATGAAATACTCAAAAATTCAATTAGATGTGGTATTATAGGCTATGTAGGTTGAACACCTGAAACTCGTCCTGTTCGGAAACAACTTTTCTAAGTTTTTGATATGTTCTTATGTTTGAAACAATGAACCACACGTAACAGACATAGTATCCAATGAATGTTTGTATGTATAATTTACATTCATAAGAAAATGAGATTTGAGGCAATTCAAAATTGAGGAGCACCCTTGACATTTTCGTACATCAGTTAAGTATAAACCTGCTTGTTAGGAACTTTCGGAAACTCTTCTGACAAAAATGTGTGACACTTTTCAACTCTAGCAACCTTGTTCTCCCTCTAAACATGAAACGCTTTACCTGTCCATATCAAAATCTCTCCATAGCTTTCATAATTATAATTCGCTTTTATTGCCACATATTGTTATAGGAGTAAAAAACCAAAATTAAGGCTTTTTGAGTGCTGCTAAAGGAAATGAGAACATTCATTAGCGTCATTCCATTATCTCATTTATTATATTCCAGTTCCCGAAATCATGTTGTCACTTAGCAACCATCCCTCTATCCCTGGCAGATTTCGGTCATAGTTATATGGGGGGACCTTTTCTGGAAGCAATGGAATCTGAGAAATCGCATGAAAGGACAAAAAAGTGATTAGATGACGATCGCTGTCGTTCGTCTTGCATGCCCTTCTAATACAATTGTCCCAAGCAGTCAATAGAATCTGTTCTTCTTGCACTTCTGCTTTTTGGTCGGAGGAGGTAGAAGAGCATTTGTTTTCCATGGAAGACATTTTGGAAGAAAGATGCTTTACTGGCATTTAAACAGATGCAGTCATAGAGAAAAAAGGCAAACAACAAATCATCAGATTAAGACAGCAGATTCACTAAAGGGAATTGTTTTTTCACATTTTTTAAGGGGTAAAGATTGGAGGCAAGTGAGCTTTACTCTCTATCTCTTGACTATTCTATGAAACATTCAGAAAGATCCTCTAATTAAATCTGAGAAACTTGTTGATACTAGGCTTTGATAAAAATGGAAAAGACTTGTTCTATAGACTTACTATTAATCCACACAAGAGCTCTACAAAGAAAATTCTATCCTCAAAATCCTGAAAAAAAACTTGGTTTTCCTAAAGGAAAAATGTTATATTTTCAGTGGCTTCGAACTTCAAAAATTTCAAATGCAAAAAAGCTTTGCGTTGTTTTCACCCATCTGCAACTATCCGAAAAGACTTCGATACCCCGAACTGTAAAAAAAAAGACAAGAAATTTTAGAAAAGGTTATCCTTGTTAAAAGAATATTTCTCCAAAACTCGCTGAAGCTTCAAAACAACAAAATCTTAGGGAATAAAAGCTTCGCGTTTTTCACAATTTTATGGCAAATTCATAAGTTTCTCAAAACTAAAAAGTGTAGAAAACCAGAAAAAATGACTAAAAAATGACTGTCAATTACTTTTCAAGTCTGCGAAGAAATAATAGCTGAAATTTTTTTGCGGGATACAGAATCTTGGGAGGGGAGGGGGTTAGGGTCGGCTGCAGACTTCAAAAATTTTAATCTTTTTGCTTCTTGCAAGCTTGTAAACTTGAAATTTTGGAGAGTAGGCGTGGTTTGAGCCGCGTTTTTAAAAGTGTTCAACAAAGCCAATCTGACTGTGAGAACTTTTCGATAATACTTTATCTAATTAGACTCATCTGCTATAACAGTTAATTACCCTAAAATCTTACAGATAAATCCGCTTTTGGACTGAGATAAGGCCCTTTAGATAAGTCCGCCCTATACATAAGTTCGTTTTCTTTCCATTATAACTCCCTGAAATATATGAGATAAGTGCGGAATTATCTAATGGAAAGCCTTATCTCTGAAACTTCAGGATAAATATTTTTTAACTCATACGAGCACTTTTGAAAAGTTTTCCGCTTATTTTTTTTGGGGGGGGGGGGGGTGGGGCACGCACCACTTCTGCGAAAGTGCGCGACAACTCGAATTCTCTCTCCCACACACAAGCATATGTACTCTTCATCATCGCAGAACCCATTGCATATATAATAACTGCTGCATATGAGAGCCTTAGCAGATTACTTGATTACGTCATTCGCATGAAAAACTGACAGTTCTCGACGGAGACTCGGCACATTTTGCGAATGTCATAGGAAAAACGCGAATGTTCAGCTATCACGCGCGCGCAATGGAGAGCTGTGCTGCAGAAAATCTAATAAACAAAAAAAGTGAAGTTATTTTCTGAATTTTGCAGCTTCTTTGAATTTCCGGGATATAATGTGGACGGAGCATAGCCGAGTTTTACCTTGATCTCTTCTACGAGCTTGGAGAGATCAGATAAAACCCGGAGACGAACGCGTTTGCACTAGTTGAACAAACAATGGAACGGGATTTTCCTTGAAAGAAAACCTTTATTGCTTTCTTTTCCAAATGAGATTTATAGAATAGAGGATTTCCAGAAAAAAAAATTTATTGAATTGCTGGAAAATGCACTGCGTTTGAGCATTATTTAGAAAAAAAAGAAAGTTTCAAAATTGGACACCAATTTTTTTGTATAGTTGGAATGATGCCAAAATCTGGATTACGAAAGGATTTTTATGACTAGAGTTCTCTGTGCTCTGAGTTATAAAAAAAAATCAAAAATCAAATAGGTAAAATTATTGAAACAAAAATAAAAAGTAATCGATAGCTAAATGTGGAAATAAAGAGATTGAAAGGTATATGTTTTTATGCTGCTCAATGAAAAATTATCTGCGAACGCACAAATAGGAAAATAATTTTCGTGAAATCTGTAACAAAAATTTTTTCAAGAAAAGATATAAGGTTGCTAAATCTGCAACGAGTTCTTCAAAACAGAGCATTCTACCAAATTTTTATTAAATCTTCGATGATTTTTTTGACCACATGATTTTTGACTTTGTGAAAAGGAAATCAATATTCGGGCAGTTTTGTAAAAAAAACGAAGTAACCGAATGATTTTTCTAAAATCAAACTTCAAAATTTCACTTTCATACGTTACTATTTTTCTAATAAATTTTGTAAAATTTCCATTCATTCTCTTAGAGGTTATCGTTTTTCCATTGTTACATCACAAAGTCACATGGAAGTATTCAAAAATTTCCTGTTTCATCAACCTTCAGCTACACGAAATTGTTGCCACCGTAACCCACAATTCCAATAAACGTGCTTTTCATTGCATTCGAAATGGCATTAGAGTGCTTAGCGCTTTTGCAGCTTCAACAAGCGCTCGCTTCTGATTTATAGTACCATTTGAGTGAATAGTGGTAAATAATTAAAATCAGTAGTATGTGCGAACAGGCAGCACTTTTGTTTTCGACATTTGCGCTTTGAAATCGGTGACATTAAGAAGCTTAAAAGAAGGGGTTTGACCAGAATATTTTGTGATTAATGGGTGAGCTTTTCAAAGGAAATATGTAAGAAAAAGGTTGATTGAGCTTTTAAGTGCTCGAATTTCACTAGTGCAGCTCAAATATCTCAATGTAGCATATTGTTCACATAAAGCACCCTTGAAAAATTCCTTTTAGAACTGCAAAATTTGAAGGTTGCCGCATAATATCCTCCATATGCTCGGAACCCATAAATCAAGCATTTACGAGCAAAAATACAAAGCGTCAACTCTTGCTGAAATTTACTGCATACCAAGCCCTATGCGACGTGAAAAAATCCGACTCTTTTTGTTATAATCTCAATTATTTATAAAATGAGCTATCGGCATCCTTTCTATCCAGATGTTATTTTCCAAAATTAGGACTTGTCTCTTTATTCAGAAAAATATCTCGGTTTCAAATACATTTTACATAACAATAACTAGATAAGATCATCAATACTACACAAAACAAAATCGCATAAGAATCTAAGTACAAAAATAAGCTAGAGTAACAATGAAAATGTTAGATTGTAAATCTAAAGTTAGTTAGTCTTGATAACTATAAGATTTAATAGTTATCTTGTGGAAAATATGGATAAAATTTCAACTTCAAGGTAACATGACATCAATGATAAAGGAGGTTTTGCAACTATCTTACATACTTGATGAATGTTGTAAAAGCTTTATTACTTTTATTCTCTTATATCATTTTACTTAAAATAAACGAAAAAACGCTGAGTCAACAACATGATTTGAAATCGAGTAGTTGAAGAAAAAAGTATTGTTAAATGTGTTCAGAATTGCATGACAGTTAATTATTTCCTCAGCTAAGACATTCATGAGTTTTAAGGCAGCAGAGTTCTCGCTTCTCAAGTACGTAACTTTTTTTCACCCCCTCGAAGTTTTCACTCGCCTAATGGAAAATGGTGAGAAGAGTTCGATCTTTTCGATAGCGTGAGAAAATTATATTTCCTCTAGCAAGTCTCTCACAAAAGATAAAAAAAATGTCAGAGACTTGGGAACTTACTGTCCAACTAACAGGAGTAAGAGAAAAACTTTTCTAGAATGCATCTGAATATATCTAATCAGTTTTAGAAGGCAGCATAATTTTTACTGGTAGAACCATCACAAAAAACATCATTCATTCAAAAACAGAAAAAAAATATGCACTTGTGAGGAACATTATGCTCTCTATTCTCAAGTGTGAGCATTATTTCTGCATTTCAAATTTTTATTTATCCCAATGGAAAGATTGTGAAGGAAATGATGGAAAAGCTAGAACTTTTCACACTGGGGGAAAATTGTATCTATTCCAACTAGTCTTTCTCAGAAGTCTACTCAAAACTACGATTCGAAAAAAAAACATTTTTAGCTCAAAATTGGATAAGTCTTCTTAACTTTGAAAAGCAGCAAAATATGATTTTTACGCGGCTTTTCCTTCTTACTAATGAGATTGAAAGAAGGTGCGAGATGGAAATAAAGTAGGACATAATTTTGAAAATGTTAGTCATTTTGCAATATTCTCAAACGACAAAAATTCTATTTCTATCACTTTCTGTTGTTTATGATACCTAAGTTATGTGAAACATATGGGAGCCTCTGCAGATAAATCAAAACAAAGGATGAATTAAAGTTAGCAAAGAATTAATTGTATTTCATATCGGAGGTTCTTTAAAAGTTGTAAATCTCTTTAAAACTAAGCACGAAAGATAGAGGAAGAGTTTAGAAAAATAGTTGTATGTTTAATGAGATTTTTAAGCAATGGGAAACAATAAAAATAATAGTAAAATCGTGAAAACATTACCAAAGGTAGCAAAATCAGTGTATCTAAATGCTTTCAATCAAAGGAAGTTTTTCAAATGAATATGAAGTTATGGAAATAACAAAGTAATAGCGAGACGCTTCTGATATGCTCTGAGCCATAATTGAATCGACAAGAAGACGATGCAAAACAAGAAAACACTCGGCTCACCTTCGTATCTTTATAGATCAGCTCGAGCTTGAACCCGTCCAGAATGCAGGAATGATTTTGAATGTAGTTTAGCGCGAGTTGAATGGCTGGTTTAGCGTCGAAGAGCTTTTTATCCAGCGATTTCGTCGGAGCACTGTTTATAAACACCCCAAGTGGTACGGGGGTTCCTCCGACACGGGGCTTACATGAAAGGCTGGAGAAGGTCGGGGCTAGAGTGGTCAGGCTAGCTAGGAGAAAAACCCACATAACTTGCAGGGGTTATAGGGGTGAACTTGTGAAGAACAGAGAATAGGGAAAAAGTGGCATTAAAAGGCGAGATTTTCGCTCATTTTCTTCTCCCCAAAACGATCTAATTAGCAGTGATTTAATAGCCAATATGTTTCACAGAGCAACAGATCGATTCCAGCCGTTGAGCAGTTGTCCGGTGTAAGTGGGCGGAGTCGGCAATGCCACTACCAGGGGCGGTTGGCGATCTCGGCCCCGAACAACGATGACAATATGGGCGTGGCTCAGCCCGAGGCCGTCAAAAGAAGGAACATGACGAAGAAATTGTTTTATGCCCTAAGGCTGAGTGCTCGGGGCTTCGAAACTCTTCAGCTGCACGCTAAGCGCTCAAACAATGAAAGCCGAACTTGTGCCCAAAAGCAACGAGCGCCTATTAGTTAAGTGGCCCGTGTGACGAATTATGCTGCATTTTCTGGCTGACAGGAGACAAAGCATTGAGGCTTTACATGCGATGTGTCCTTAGAAGGAAGATCTTCTCTTTATGGCCACTTCCCAGGGATTTCAAGATTACTAAGGGTTTTTGCTTTTCTTAGTATATTGAGTTTGAGGAGACTGTAATACCTGATAAAAAGAGAAACAATGAAACAAAGTGGCCTTTAGGTTCAATTACCCAACAATGAATGCGCCAGCCTTATTCTAAAGAAAGTCGTGCTTCTTGTTAGATCCTTTCGTTAATTTTCCTCAAAAAATAGCGAATAATATGTAGGTCCTGGCGAATGATTTTCGGAGAGTGTAGTTTCTTACTTTGTTTGGAGGAAGGAATGAAACAAAGATATGATTCGTCGGGATAAGGGGATATTTTGCCATTTACTTACTATTGAATTTCTATGTTTCTGGAACTTTCTAGGAAGAGGCGAGAAGATGGCGAAAAAACTATAATGAGTGGCTACCATAACGATGCACAAATCTTATTTAGAAATATATGTACTTGTACCCTCCCCTCCCCATCTACTCCTAAAAGGGGTTGTGTCACAATCGTGAAAAGTGACAGTATGCTTGTAAACAGTTGGAGTGAGAGAAAGATTGATTAGATTTGTAGGAAAGCGATAGTAAAAAAACTTTCGGGGATTTTCTTGAAGTTCCGCGCCTTCATCCAGCAAAAAAGCCTGTTTCCTTACTGCCCTCCCTCCCCTTCTTTTTTTTTTTGAAAAATAAATTGAACTCTAATGATGTGTAAGTCTATTCGATTAACATGTCCACACATAAAAAATTAAGGTGAAATTTTCATAAATACTTTTGTATTGAGATTTCTACCACTTCCGGATAACTGAATGTGACAACAAACAAAGCTACATAGAAGAAATTTACTGCCCGAAAACTACTGCATATTCTTCGAATTATCAGAATTTCCTACATCTAGTTGTTGACCTGTCTCATTCAGACACAGCATCGGTAATATTCATGTTTTTGACACATAACAAAGTGTGCGGCTCCAACTCTTATTAGCGAAAAGCTCGACAGCGATGGAAAATAAAAAACGGGGACAGCAAGAATAGGGATATGAAAGGTATGAAAGGTGGGGAAGGGGAGGGGGAGCAGCCACCATGGGTGGGAGAAGAGGAGGATTCGAAAAACGCGCCTCTTTATTCTACTGCTAAGCAAGCGAGAATTTGATAGTATGTCATATGTAAACATTTAACCCATTGACGACGACGCCTAATTTCGCTTGGTGGCGCTGTGGGACGACGCGATTTTGCACACACTTTTGGCGTGGGAGGGTTTTGTGACTATTTACGAATTGTAGAGCTGTTTTGTAAACAACTACAATTATCTTCTTAGATGACGAAGTCTACAGATTCCAGTAGCACAAAAAACCAATAAAAATACTGAACTGTGGAAAAAGTACTAGACCTGGAAAGGATATGATTTTGCAAGGGGTGTGGGCCACCGGTGGTCCTCATCGTCCCTGGCGGCAGAAAGTGCGTGGGCCACCGGTGGTCCATATCGTCGTCAGTGGGTTAAGAAAGAACCTTCCCAAATGTGAAGGGAAAAGTAGAAGAGGGGAGAAGTAGCAGAGGAGCACATTAAAACGTTCTCTAGGGTGTTGCCTTCCCATCCTACGATTACCTAGTTTCTTACCGACGTCATAATTAAAGTTTGAAACATCCATTTTTTCCACCTCAATCAAACTTCCGTAAAATCTTGAAAAATTCACAATCACGAAAGCTATCGTTGAAAATACAACGCCAGTCTAACTTACAATTATGACTCCTTGCATGCTGCATAGCAATTAGCTTTACTGTGGCAAATGTCATCAATCAAGATAATTGCTGCCTATTTCTTCTGAAAACACTTGCTGCGCCGTGTAAAAATCGAAAAAAAAACAGTTGCGCAAATTTTGCGGAATTCAAGAGAGGTTAGGAAGATAAAGTTGTTAGAGGATGCACGATGCTCGTGCACACAAAGAAAGCGGTGGTTTTCTCGGCCGTCACCGAAGAGTATGAACCTGGAAACCGATGGCAATGACATTCATCAATCGCTGACGTCCAATAGCATAGCTATTGTGATTATAAGTCAGGAAGCTTATGCGCAGATTTCTATAGAAATATGTGCTTTTTGGGTTGTACTGCTGTAAGTACTGAAAGATTTGAATTATTATGCATGAATCTTAGGCCCCGGGCAGACTTCACGCGATTTGATCGCCGCGACTGAATCGCGACGAGACAACTGTTACAACATCATTCCATGCCGATCAACTTGCATTCGGTTGTGATACTTTTCCAGCCCGAAATTTTTGAATGTGAAATGAAAATGAATGGAAATCTTGGCGATTAGATCGCGACGATTAAGTCGCGTGAAGTCTGTCCGGGGCCTTAAGCAAAACTTGAAATACGAAACTATGCAGACTGAGTGTACTGGTACTGCATCATCATGATTGACTCTTCGCTTTCTCAATTATTGCCGGAATTTCTGTGAATATCGAATTTGGACAGGTTTTAACTCCCAAATCATTCAACTCGGGGAGGTCGTGTGCTTTAGTTTTTATGCGATACGGTAAGCGAATCAGACTACCCTAATTTCACGCGTATAAGGCGCGGGGATTTTTTTTGCAAAATCGACCAGCCCAGACAAGCCAAAGGACTTTACAACCTAAGAACTCTATAACGTGTTGTATATTGCTTGAAAGAATCGCGCGATGTAAGGATTTCTTTGCGGAATTCAGTGAAGTGGCTGAGCAGCTTGTTTGAAAGTTTGAAAAAGTGCTTATACGCGTGAAACTAGAGTAATTAGACCCACTTAACCAGACCAGAAACGTTTTCGCTTCAGTTTTATATGGCTTATACAGGATGTCTCTAGGTAATGCAATAAACGTTTGACTTTCAATAACTTTGTAAGAGAAGCTTTCGCGGATCCCCAGATGCGATACAGTAGGGCTAGCTTCAGTTGGATTGCATATGTAGAGTGAATCAACGACCACACTCTTCTTCATTGTTGTAGATTACGGTAAGAACTTCCAGCATATGGCGACATTGTGAAAAGGCCTTTTCAGAAAATTTCCAAGAAAATCCAAAAAGTGGTGTAACAGATCTTCAAGCATGCTGATTTCAATACTTAAATCTCCACAATAATCTCCACAGTCCCTTGTTAAGTGTTTTAGATGCTGCAAACAGTTTTTTTCAGAATATGAACAAAACAGCTGCTCCGTATACCTAGCATTACTTTCTAACGAAGCATTGTAAATGTAGTATTTACAGCTTTGAGTAGCCTAGTATACGAGTTTTTAGGTCATTTGTTTCCCTTTCTGAGGCAAAACATGGCCTTCACTTTTGCAGGAACCTTCAAACTTCTTACTGTAATTCTACAGTAACACTGAGGGTTCGCTGATGCTCTACGCTGTAAATCTAACTTCAAGCTGGCCCTATCCTATAACACTGAAGATCCGTAAAAGATCTGAAGATCCTTTCTATACACGAGAGTTATTAAAGATCAAACGTTCGATGAATTATCTTACAATTAGTACGCCCTGTGAATTAACTGCAGAAATATTATCACTCTTGATCTCCTCAATCTAGTTTAATGTTACAGATTATTTTTTTCTATTTGTCTCATAGAATACGCAGACTTTTCTTCTATTTTTCACTTTAAAATGTTTTCTAAATTTTGAACCTTACTTCATATTGTTCGGTGTCAATTGGCAATATCGGCAGACCTCTTCTCTAGCAATAAGACTCAGTAATCTTTTTTTACATTTAGTGTAAGTCTTTTTTGTGAAAAAACATACACGTTTTTTTGTTGCATCCCCATCTGCACCCTTACTTATTGTTGCTACTAATAAGCTGATGCGATTCATGCCGATTAAATTCATACAGTGGGTTCACCATCATCGCAAAGTACAAAAACTGCCAATATTGCTTCAAAAAATTGTGTAAAGTAATCAAAAGTGTTTCAGAATGGTTCAGTTTGTTTCAGTGTTGCTTCAATCAATCCCATGTAATATTTTGGTGGAAAATACTACAACAAACCAAAACCGCTTATCTCATAGATTGCATTTACGAGAGCGAAAATTTGCAGTAGTATGCACTCTCGCATATATGTAGCTTATATCTAATTTACTTGAGCAGATTGGGAGGAGTTGGATTGATAGGGGCGGAGTTTGCCACCTTTGAGTTACCTCCTTCTGTTTGTCTTTTGAGCCTGACTTAACTACTATATGCAGCAATCTGACTGAGACGAAAATTACACCGTGGTAGTCCTTTTTCTTCATATTTCTTTCCTTTTTATTTGGTTTAATTTTTTTAGAGATTTCCACGACAGGGTCAATGTGCTATCCAATTAAATAAATTACTTTTGGGAAATGTTATGCGTGAGTTATAGGATAAATACATTGTGTTTATAATTAAACAGCTTAAAATCTCACATATAAATTGAACTGCACTTATCTGCATATATGAAAGGGCTCACCGTCCTACTTTATTACTCTAGAGTAAACCTAAGTGTAAGTTTAGAACGCGTAACATTTAAGCAGAGTCACATAATTCATTTCATCCACATTCTCATATAAGGGCCGTATTCGACGTCTTTTCTTGCCCTTTAGGGGCTTCTCTGACATCTCGAGCACTTTTCCCTAGCGACACGAATATTATGTCGCCAAATGACAAATGATCGCCTTTCACGCGCCAAAATTCAGGCAATTTTTGCGGCAGCTGTCGCGTGTGCATTTTCTTCGGCCCTTCAGCAGACGAAGGAATCATTGGAACGTGACTCCTCGTAAAATAAGCAGTACATCCTGCATTTAGTGGCTAGATAAAGAAATCGCTGCAGGAAATTGACGGCTAAACGTAAAAGAGCCTTTATGATGATGCTCGATGTGATTGCGGGGTTCCTCTGCCTTTGAACATGACTGAAAAATAGGGGGGGGGGGGGGGGGAAGGAGAGTAGGTTTTAAGTTCCATACTCCCAAATCTCATGAAAATTGTACCAGGAATAGATTAGCGAGGTATGAATTTTTACCAGGGGCTTTCTCTCTCAAGTCAAGACTATTTATTAGTCACATAAGTTTTGCTACACTTTCGTCGTCTTTATCTGGAAAATTCTAGAAAACAAGGAAGAGTCTCATATCTGACATATAGGGGGAGGAAATGAGAAGGTTATTCTGTCATTTTTGTACTTCCCAATTACGAGTTACAGAAAATACAAATGCATATTTCCTAGCGGCATCCCAACCTCCACATTTTTTATTTTTTAAAATTTTCTTGTTCCTCTTTTTTCTAGGTTTTTATGGACTTCCGCGCCATGGTAGTAAAATTGAGGCATTTGGAAGACCATGCTTTTGAAAGTTAAAGATTTGCCGAACACTTCAGAAAAATCTTTGAGGTTTCAAAAAATTGTGGATCTCAAGTGTGACATATACAACCCACAACACTACACATAATTTGGAAGCGAGCAGAAAATCTTCTGAGGAAATCACGAGGATGTTTTCCATCAAGTCAACAAAACTTATTATTAGTAGCGACCCAATATTTGGTCCTTCCTCCCCTCCCCCCCCCCCCTCCAAAGAATTTGTATACATTTCATTTCTTTGCATAAACCAAGTGCTCTGCTTTGTAAGAGGGAAACGTGAGAATAATTGCATTGAAGGTGTGTTTACATTTCTCCGGCCATATACTTCACTGACATAAACCAATCCTGCCCTGCGGGGTTCTTTTGCAGCTGCTTCGACAAAGCAACAACTGCTTTCCTTTGAGAAGGGAACTTGCGGGAGACTGGTAGACTTTTCTCTTACAGAAAAAATGCGCTGGACTCTTGTAGAAAGGCGCCTGTTGTTATGGACTGACACTAAAATTTTTCGAAAAAGTGTATCCGAAAATAAATTGGTGTGATTTGACTATACAGCGTAAAACGCTCTGACAAAGACCGCACCGCCTTTCTTGCAGGCTTGTGCTTGGACTTGCAAACCAAATCATGTCAGCTTACAACTAGATTTCATTCACAAAATTCCACATTTAAAATTTTCAGACCATACCAAAGACTTTATCGGAAAGGAAGGCAGTGTGTCAGGGCTTGACACACCTGACTCTCATTGAAATGGCTACTAAAATGTGTCAAACCAACTCCGGGAGTTTTCTTTCATGCTGGATTTAGATACAACCTCTACTGTTTTTGCCAGCATTCCAGCGCTACTTTAGGTCTACTGTAGATGGAATTGTGCGTGATTTTATTTAAAAAATGTTGGTTTTTTCGAGAAAGGCTTCGGTCGTCAATGAATGTGTTATTATACAGGCTGCTGTATGACGAAGGCACATTATGTTATGGCCGCCAACGCGGCTTTATTAGCCGCAGAGCGCATGAGACGCAGGATTTACAACGATGAGGATACGCACGCGCAGCCTTCGCGCCCGCTCAACTGATGCTGCTTCTGCGCCTTCGTCATGAAGTAGCCTTTAAGTCATACTTTAGTTTGATACATAATTTTGGTTAGGTTTAGGTTGGCAGTTTTACTTTAGCGTTCTCATTTTCAACATTATATATTAGGTCATTCCAAAAGTGATTTCGCTTTTTTTAAACAAGTGCCACATTTGATTAAGTGAAGATTTCTAGGAGATTTAGAAAGCATTTGATGTAGCATTTTATTCTCTTTCTAACGGTTATAAATTCATTGCAGTACACAATGAGCTCTTGAAAAACTGCCAAAATTTGCTAACCACGCTTTTTGAGTTCAAGTTTCACAACTTTTCTGAATTTTTGTACTGACCTACTCGGAGAGGAAGTAATGTAGGACAAAGCGGACCCTGCCATACAAAATATTAGGTCATTCTGAAAGTAATTTCGCTTTTTTCAAATGGGCGACACATTTGATGGAACAAAGTTTCCTGAGAAACCTTGGAAGCATTCGATGCAGAATTTTATTCTCCTTCTAATGGTTATGAAACTGTTGCATAACAATCAATGAGCTTTCAGAAAATAACCAAAATCTGCGACACATGCTTTTCGAGAAAACTTTCATTACATACCTGAGAAGGAGTTCAAGTAACG